CATTCAAATTAACCTTGGTAAACAAATATGCCTAGCCCAAACCAGTGATGCTATGAGGGACTTAGGAGTCAAAATTAGGCCACAGGCTTATAACATTAGTCTAATATACACAAGTGGAAGTAATGTATATGAAAGGGATGATGTTCAATAACTGCCTGACACAGCAAAAGCAATCTAGATTTCATTGGATTCACAATCATCCCGACTAGCAATTCAGCACCACAACAACCGTGCTGGCCATCATTTTATCTTCTCCACCATGTCTGGACCACACAGCCTGGCATTTGAGAAGGCTGTAGGCAAAGTGGCATCTAGATTCTCCTCAGTCGGTCAGCCCTATCAGGCCTGCTTGGTGGCTGCAGCACTCTGGTCAGTACTGGAAGCAGGATCAAGTGCCTGAGTCTTTCTGCATTTTAACTTCCCACAATGCTCCAGAGTGATACTGCATCAGGGAGATTGTAGGAAATTAATATGTCTGTGAAATCCAACCATCCATGATGCAAAGAGCGTCAAGCTTTTTGTGGGGCTCAGGGCAAGTGGCAGCAGTAGGCCCTGCTGGAGTACTGGGGTCCTAGCAGTTTCCCAGTGCTGGGTACCCAGCAAGTATTGATACCCACCTTGAATTCATAGGTCCTGGCTCTCTCCCCACTTGCTATATATCTATGTATTATAAGATCTCTATCCAATCGATCGATCATTAGATAGAAAGTCAATAATATATACCTTGTGTGCAGATCCCTCTAAAGTCCAGTAGTTTAACCTATGCATGTTTCACTAGACATATATGTCATTTGAAACACAGAAGCTCTCACGGAGTAAGCGAGTGGGCCAAACAAATAATCTCAGTATTTATCTTGGCTTTAGTTGAGCTAGCAGAGGGGGGAGCATTTGGATAGGTTTCTGTTCTGCAGCTAAGAATCTCCTGACAGCATCTATGAGAAGCACAGACAACAGCAGCCAAGGAAAGAACAGTGGAAACATGCTTAAATCCCATGTAATAAAATGCAGATGTATGAGAAGAATCTTGAGCAGTCGTTACTTCATAGTTCATATTTATTCCAAGTCACTGCTAGGAATGGCTACCACTGGAAAGGATGCCTTCCTCTTATGTTTTGCTGTCCTTATTAATGGATCTGAACTGTTCACACATGGATCTAAGATTCACCAGAATGCTGGAGTGCTAGAAGTCAAGGTTTCACATTTGGGCAAATACAGTACTGTATTTGCATTTTCTTGGTAGGCCAAGGCAGAACTTCAATACTTGAGCTATCTGGTTCTACAGCTCACATACTCATTGACGGGTGTGCAGTGGACCTCACCAAGTTCTGCATTTTTTCAGTGGGGTTTTAATATAGATTTTGTTTGAGGTGGTTGTGGAAGAACCTAATCAAAACTTGAACTTGATCAGCATTTTTAACTTTCACATTTCATCACATATTCCACATTGGAGTACATTCTCGTTCCAAAATTGTTTAAAATAGCTGCATTGTTTTTGATACTGATGATAAAAGGATAGATAAACAATTGTGCTTTTCACATTGCACAAATAGTTTTAACTCATCTGTCCATGATGGTCAGTCTTAGGGATGAAAAACCTTCTCTCATTAGTTTATTCATCTTCTCCAAAGCATATGCTCAAAGTCCACTATTTTACCCAAAGTGTATCAGTTTCCTTGTGAAACCTTACCATTTCACTGGAGACAATTTACAGCAGACAAGTTTCTTCTAGCTACGATATAAACATATCTGGCAGAGGAGATGTGGTGAAATGAAGAAGGAACAGGCTTAGAGCTTTGCAGATTGCAACCCTCGTCTCCAATGTATGTTTTTCCATCAGTATTAAGATGGGATAATGGCCATTTCTTCTTTTTTGTTGGCAATAGCAATGAGTACACTCATAGAAGTTACAATTTTTTCCTTTATTTCCTTCAATGTTGATTTATATTAAAATCAATACAGTGAAGCACAACCTTGCTTTTGTTTCTTGATCTCTGTGGCTTCTGTTACCATTGACTATGATATCCTCCTGGCTCCATGGAATGGAAATTGTGGCCCTTGTGTTACAGTAGTTCTGTTCCTATCTAAGGGACCAAGTCCAGAGAGTAGCACTAGGGGAGTGCTTTTTGGGCCCCACACAGTTACTACCCCCAATTCTGTTTAGTATCTGCATGCAGGTGCTGAGAATTGTCGTCAGGAGTCTGGAGCAAGGTACCATCAGTATGCTGATGACACTCCACTCTATTTCATCACAACTTCTGGATCAGGAGAGGCAGGGTGCAATCTTGGGATGGATGAGGGGAAATTGGCAGGGCTTAAATCCTGGTAAGATGGGTGGGTGAGGGGGTCCCATGTTCAAGAAATCGGACAGTTGTGTGCCCTGAACACGGTTGCAATTGCCCTGAAGGAGAAGATATGCAGTTTGGTAGTGGTTTTGGATTCTTCTCTGTCACTGGAGGCCCAGGTAGCCTCAGTGGCGAGAATTGCCTTTTAGCAACTAGCCATTGACCTGCAATCCACCACATGTAACAAAAATGTCCAAAATGTTCATAAACATGCCTGTTGCAGCTGAACTAGAGCTCAATGCTTCGTCAGATTCTATACAACCATTTAGCAACCAATTGGTGTCCCTGAGAAGCAACCATCTAGAAAGGTTATTAAGAAAAAGTCTTCTTTGAAAGAAAAGGATGCCAGAATTTATTGCCCTTGACAAAGGTATTAAACCAAATATTGTTTTAATTATGAACACTTCAATGCTGCTATTTTACCCTGGGTCCCCCCCCCACGTATATTGTGCGTGGGGTTATTGTACTTGAAAGAGGGGGTTTTTTTAGCCCCGTGGGGCACATTAGTTCAGCTGAAATGCCCAGAAAAGCAGCCACAGTGTTTCTGTATCTTTTCGGCAATTCATGGACTTAATACAGTTTCTTTGGAGAGTTGGACATTGAACCCCTAATAATAATAAAAGGTCACAGTGCAGTTGCACCTAATACAAAATTCTGAACGTAAGAATTTTGATACCATGGTTCTAAAATCAAAGAATCCTCTTTCAAAATGCAGGCTCATTAAAACAAGACAGATGTCCAGGAAAACAATGATGTGTGAATTGTGCAACAGTACATACAAAATGAAGATGGTGCTGACAGAAATGAATCCACATTTTACGAGGCATATTGTGGGCGGGGGGGGGGGCAGCTTGCTTAGGCTAAATGTTGTCACATATGTATTTGGAAATTGTGTGACTTTATTTCCATGATGATAAACTTCCCAAGCCACGTTGCTGGACACTCATGGAGAAGTGATTCAGTGCCCCTTGAATTAAAACAGAGATCTGAATATGGATTTTCTGATTCTCAGTAAACTTCTGCAGAAAGGGTCATGTTCCTTGGCTTTAGGGAGTTGAACATCATAGAAATAAAGTCACAAGATAGTCTTCACATTTTCCAAATGCAAACTTTTTTGTGTGAAAGCATGTTTTTCTTCTCGTCAAAGCCGTTTCATGGAGGGCAGACAGTCAACATCATGCTCTCTTCTGCTCAAATCCTGGTGATTCTTATCTCATGAGTTGCACAATGTAAAAGAACAACCTTGACATGAATATACAAACAAAAACCGATTTGTCTTTGGTGTCCCCTTACGCGTCATCTCCTTCCTTTTATGCAGACGTTTCTTGTATTCAGAGTGTTTTGTTTTCTTATGTATGGTGTGGAGAAGGTGGCTAGAGAAAAGTTGTTCTCTCTCTTTCATAGTTCTAGATCTGGAAGCTGAATGCTGGAAAAGTCAGGAACCACAATCCTCATCCTTGTGGGTAGTATGAAGCAGTCGCTTTCCCATCCATGTTCATCCTTGGGAATTGGTATTTAGCCAACACGTTTTCTGCTGAACCTCAGTTAATGTGAAGCAGCTCTGACGCAGCAATGTTCAGATGTGTTGGCCGAAAGAGACACAGAGATGCAATCTATAATAAGTTGAGCCTGAGCTGTAAACAACTCGTGAAATACTTCAGTTAACACATAAAGTAGAATTGTTGGGAGCGCAAGCCTTATGCTTGATTTTGAGGCTCATTAAAAGTTTTTGGTCTCATTAAAGTACATATTTCAATCTCATTAAAAAGTTAACGTTTAGGGCTGGCAGCTGTGATGAGGCAGATGGCACCATAAAAAGAAAAAAGAAAAGATAAGGCTATACCTCAGATTCTGAAGAACGTGGTTAAAGAGCTACTTTGAATCATGCCAAGCTGGCTCCACATCACTCAAGCAGGAAGTCTTTAGCTTCAATGCAGTGGCTGAATTGAAAGACTTAGGAATTGGGAGAACTCCGTAAGAGAAGCACTGCTCTCGCCCAACTATCTATGCATTCTTCTGATTCTTTCTGGCTTTCTGAACAGTAGTTCCTTTTTCTTTTCTTCAGAGAACATTTTCTCTGGTTGTTTGCTATGTCCCAAATGCTTTGCTGTGGAGATCCGATTTGTTCAGTCCCTCCTAACGTTTCCATTTGCTTTTCCAAACTGATTTCTGTCAGTGTTTATATAGGCATGTTCATTTCCCCCCTCCGGTTTCTCTCATTTTAAGAAATTTCCCCGATTTCTTATATTTGATTTTTTTAGATCAGTGGCAAGTGGTGTCTGCGATTGTCCTTACATATCAGTGTCCTCTAAGTCCCTCCAGCCAGAATGGCCAATGATGAAAGTTGTAATCTAAGAACATCTTCTGGGCCAGAGGTTCAACACTCCTATTTAGATTTTAAACACATGGAGAAGACCTTGGATTTAAATTTCTGTGCAGAATATAGTTGTGTTAGGCATATAATAAGTAAGAATATTTTAGCTCCTGTATTTACTATTTTAGCTTCCAAGGAAGGAAACCTACAAATAATTTTGTAACACTAAGAAGTCATGGTGAACAACATGATAGTAAACTGGTTGCTTTCTCCTTTGTGACAACATAAAGTCTTGCATACTCCAACCTTACAGTGTCTTAATTTCCCCTGCTTCTTTTATTTAGTGCCAACAACATGCCAAAGCAGGTAGAAGTGCGAATGCATGAAAGCCACCTGAGTCCAGTGGAGGTTCGGAAGAAGAACATATGTGTGCGGCTCTGCCTTTCGCTCAGAAAAAATCTGCTCCTTTCACTTACTGTATTTGGTAAGTAAAATTCTCTGGTTCATGAATGCAATTCTTTTTTGCAGCTGGATTGTTTCCTCTTATAATCCTATACAGTGGTACCTTGGGTTACAGATGCTTCAGGTTACAAACACTTCAGGTTACAGACTCCGCTAACCCGGAAGTAGTATCTCGGGTTAAGAACTTTGCCCCAGGATGAGAACAGAAATCGTGTGGTGGCAGCGGGAGGCCCCATTAGCTAAAGTGGTACCTCAGGTTAAGAACGGACCTGTGGAATGAATTAAGTTCATAACCAGAGGTACCACTGTACCTCCCTTTCTGTTATCATTACAGTAGTGCAGCCAGCGGCGGAGCAAGGCGATCGAGCATCTGGGGCCGCACGTGTATCCTGCTCCCAGGGGCATGGCCAGCTACCAGTGGGGCGGGGCGAGCCGGGGCAGGATGCTCTGCGGGGCCTCTGGAGTCTGCCTGCCTCCTCCTACTCAGCCGCCCTATAGCTGAGGGGGAGGCAGTGGGTGGACCGTTTGAGCAGTATTGGAGCCTGCGCATGCCCAAGCCACCATGTCTCTTTCAGGGGAGATGTGTGGCTTGGGCACGCTGCAGGCCCCACGGTGAGTGCCACCCGGCATTTTGCACCCCCCTCAGTGGTGACACCTGGGGCAGACCGCGTCCACCGCACCCCCTTCCTCTGCCCCTGGGCGCAGCTAGTTAATTTTGGACCCTGGATGTTATGGTCTTTCAGGGTGGGAGCTTTAGATGGCTATGTGTATTACTTCAGTTGTGAAGCACACCATTAGCATTTCTCTTTTCCTCTCTGCTCCCACACCTCTGGTCCATGCTTGTAACAGATGTAGAAGCAGTTACGTTAGAGCCAAAAATAATTGGGGGGAGGGAGCAAAAAAGAAAAAGAAAAAAGAAAAAGTTGGCAAGCCTGGTAAAAAAGAAAGAAAGAAATACTCTGTGTGTGTGCAGTTTCAGTTTTTTAATTCACATAAATCTTAGCACCATTGTGACTAATGAAATAAAATGAGGTTTACTGTACTTCTGATGCATTTATTTGGGAATAAACATCATTTTGTGGTAGAAAATCAGGACCACCCCAGTCATAAGGCAGAATAAGACAATTTTCTCCAGTGGTGGGTTTCCCTGGGATGCTTGCTTCCCTCATTATTACCCGCAACACAAGACAAGGCTCTCCTCCACCACTGTCAATACCATATTCTCCTTCCTGCCTCACATCACTTTACGAAAGGACAGAGAATAGGTCCTTCTTCAGAACTGAGGCATTCTGGGTGAGATGGCTAGGATAATGTTTGCACTGCTACCATAGTTTGGTAGATTTTGTTAATATATATACATATAAAAACACAAATTCAGAGGTTACAACGCTACCTGCTGCAGCAGACTAGGATGGCATTAGCAGGCTTTTGCCCAGAAGGCCAGACTCTGAAGAAGGATCCCCACTGAAAGTCCTGTTATGGTAGCAGGACCTGTTGAGTTGCTAGCTCAACAACTTAGCTGAATCCAGACCATGGTTTCTAAGTGCCTCGTGGACAGGGCTGGAATGGATGTTTGGTGGAGAGAGAATGAACACTATCGAAACTGAGTGTATATGGGTTATGAAAGAAGGATGCCAATCTTTACCTCTGTTAGTAAGAGATGGAGAGGAGATGCAGATGATTGCTGGGAGGGTAGCCTGCCACAAGCAAGAAGTTTGGTTACCATCTAATGCATTCAAAGTTAATTATGTTGGACCTCTGTGGAATGCTTTTTTTTTTTAATGGCAATCTCCCCCCACCCCATTTTATTGCTATGTTGGGTATTATTCTCCCTGCTGTTCAGTTTTAAGCTGTTAAACTAGGGTAGTTTATTTGTACTGTTTATGCAAAGACTGATTTATTTATTTATTACAATTACTTATTATTAGTTCCTGAATCATTGTTTTCTAATTATTTCTGTTTAAAACATTGTTATATTTGTTCATCTGATATCTTGTGAGCCACATTGGGATCAATTTTGTGGGAAAGTGGCATACAGTAAGACCAATGATGATGGTGATGATTAAGTGTCCCAGGGCCATGACAGGATTGGAGATTGGCTGCCTTCTCACTCTCATAGGCCACCAGCTTAACATCACAGCCTAGACGAGCAGCCCTGGAAATACTGGGTGGAATTCAGCATTGCACTAAAGAGATCAACACAAGCATTTTTACTTGCCCAAGGGAGTGATCTGCCCTCTCCTCCCTCTGCATGTTGATCAAAGCGTTCTCCTAACCCTCCTAAGCAGATTTGGGGTGGGCATAGGGGACTCATGGTGCTGGCTTTTGCTAGCCCAACAACTTAGTTAAATTTGACCCATTGATTAGAAATGTAAATCCCTGTCCTTGTTTCAGAGGAATCCTATAGTGGAACAGGCCATGCTGGGCATCAAAATTCAAATAATTTTTCTGTTCTCTAGGAAATTCAATTTAGTTCATTTCACCAGGGCTGAAGATGGAGGCGAGGGAGAGATCTCTCTCCTGTCAGGAGAAAGGAGGAAGAAAAGAAATTTATCCCTGGTCTTTCCTCCCCTTACAGGCTGCTGGTACTTTTTAGCTCGCTCTTTTGCTGTGCACTAGGGACTAGGCCAGTGATACAGTGATCTAGTTTTCTCAATTGCCTTCTGGGTATCGCAGCTTCCAAATATGGAGCAGTTTGACATTTTAGTGTGGTTCACTGGCTTCATGCCCAGGCTTACTAGATTGTTTTTTCTTTTTTCTTTTAATGTTACAGTACAGTGAGCCTAACAGCCAAACGCATGGCCTTCACAGAGCCTGCCTTTATTCACTTCAGCTTGAATGGACAGCTGTGCTGTTAGAAGAGAAGGCTGTGTAGATAGCCTGAACTAAATATATTCCTGTCCTGAAAGATTTAGAAATGGTGTATTTATTTTGACATCAGCTTTTGGCTCAGATTGATAGTTGTGAGATATCTGTGAGCCTTTCCCAGCAGGATCCCACAACAATTATTTTTGGTTAGATTAAAGCTGCACCCTGGGAAATCTACACACCACTCTAATGATGGATAGCCCTGTTGCGGAGACTGCTGCATTTTGAGCCTGTGAAGGAGGGGTATAGAAACCACAGGCACAAAATTCAGTTTTTCAGAAATTGTCTGAGGGTGCATGCGTTTGCTACCTTATTGAAGCTAAGGGTGCTGCCAGATGGAGTTGTGACTGTATATGTGAGATCAGTGCTCCTCATGCATGCATGGGTTACTGATATCACAATAAAAAAATTAAAAAATTGTCCAGTAGCACCTTAGAGACCAACTAAGTTTGTTCTGGGTATAAGCTTTTGTGTGCGTGCACACTTCTTCAGATACACTTCTGAAGAAGTGTGCATGCACATGAAAGCTTATACCCAGAACAAACTTAGTTGGTCTCTAAGGTGCTACTGGACAAAAAAAAAATCCGACTGCGTCAGACCAACATGGCTACCTACCTGAATCAGATATCACAATGACAGCCCATGTTTTTCCTCATTTCATTCAGATTTAACCATCTTCTCTATACAAAATCCAATAATATTCGAGGGAGCTTGCCTCATAACAAGTCCGACAAGTGATCTATATAACTCAGTACTGTCTACTTGGGGATGTGGGTGGCGCTGCGGGTTAAACCACAGCCTAGGAATTGCCAATCAGAAGGTCAGCGGTTCGAATCCCTGCGACGGGGTGAGCTCCCGTTGCTCAGTCCCTGCTCTTGCCAACCTTGCAGTTCGAAAGCACATCAAAGTGCAAGTAGATAAATAGGTACTGCTCAGGCAGGAAGGTAAACGGCGTTTCCGTGCGCTGCTCTGGTTCGCCAGAAGCAGCTTAGTCATGCTGGCCAAATGACCCGGAAGCTGTACGCCGGCTCCCTCGGCCATTAAAGCGAGATGAGCACCGCAACCCCAGAGTCGGCCACAACTGGACCTAACAGTCAGGTGTCCCTTTACCTTTTACTGTCCACTCTGGCTGACAGTGGCTCTCCACCATTCCCAGCCCTACCCGGAAATGGTAGGGATTGAACTTGGGACAATGATCTTCCATTGAGCTACAATTCTTTCTCCAACTCAATGTTCTGGTCACGGCTAGACTCTGGGGCCATGGCACCCCCATTCATCTCCTCTTCATTTCAATGTCCTCTAAGCAATAACACAGGAGGCTGTGAATGAGCTAAACCATTGGTCCATCTAGCTCAATATTGTTTACACTGACGGGCAGCAGCTCTTCAAGATGTCAGGTGGAGTCTCTCCCAGTTCCTATCTGGAGACAGCAGGGACTTAAACTGAGACCTTTTGAATGCAAAGATACCCTGCCACTGAGCTAAGGCTCTTCCCATCTGGTATTTTCTCATTCACCCCTATTGGAACCATGGCCTAGGAATGGGTATTGCTTTTATTTATGACTGTCATTTTCCCTACTTCTGTGTAAAATCCCTAGAAAATGTACATTTTCTGTAAGTCCTCTGTGTATATAATTAGTTATGGTTGGACAGAATAATATAAATAGCTATTAGGAGGAAGATGGAATTGGTAATTTTAGGAGGACACTGAAGGCTGAACACCTACCCAATCACGCAGTGCAATCCTATATGTCCACCCAGAAATAAGCTCCACTGTGTTCAGTTTTCCAGCTGTGTATAGGAATTGCTTTATCCTCAAGTACCTGGAGGTGATTTTTCTGAGGTGGTCAGAAGTGACTAGTTTCACTCCTTGGGACTGTTATGATGGAAGGCAGGGAGACCAATAGTAAGTGGAGCCAGAGCCAATAAAAGGCAGTCAACTGATTGTAATTTTATCCCCATCCTCCTCACTGCTGATTTCTGGAGGAGGAAGCAGGGTTACCCAAAGTTGTGTGCCCTCCAGATGTTTTGGACTACACAACATCAGCCTCAGCCAAAGTGGCCATTGGATAGGGATAGTGAGAGTCCACAACATTCAGGGTCAGCTGGGTCAACATTCAGGGTCAACATTCAGGGTCAGCTCCCTCAGGTCCGCTCGCCAAGCCATGCTCTCTTGAGGCCACTGCGGATTAGCGCATTTGAATCAGTGGGTTTGACGGGGACCCATGAGCCTCTGCAGCAGCCAAGGGGGACGTGCTGCACACAAAATGGAGCATTGCGTCCAGGCAGCAAGGGAGGGAAGGCTGCAACCGCCGCTCACCGAGGAGGATCGGTGAGTGGCCATTATTGGCACAGCTAGCTCTGGTTCAAAACTGTGTTTTGACAGGATTATTCTATTATGTGGTGAATTGAAACTCAATTACTCAAATCCTTTCTTCTGTGTCCTCCCTTTTTTATCCAGGTGTCATCATGGGCGCATTGTGTGGGGCACTTCTTCGCATGGCGGCACCTATTAATCCTGATGTCATCATGTTGATAGCCTTCCCAGGAGATATCCTGATGCGGATGCTAAAAATGTTGATTCTTCCTTTAATTATCTCAAGCTTAATCACAGGTGAGATCTGTTCTAAACAATTAGAAGGTTAATCTTTTGTGAGAGATTAAGACCTATAGAGTAATACTCACAGCTTTATACACTCTCATAACAGTATGTGTGTTCTTCATATTAATGTACCGGCATTATCCTTGAAAATTGTCTCCAAAACACCGCTAAGTAACTCCTTGTGCAAAGTCCGCAATTGTGTACTACCTTTATTAAGATCAATTGGAAGGATTGCAAAATTTTGGCAAGCTTTTGAGTTTGCCAGAACACTTCATCAGGCAAGTGTAACAAATACCGGTATGTTACATCTAGACATCAGGGTTATAAGTCGGGATTTATTTTCTCAAGAAGAGTGAAAGCAGCCATTGATTCTTTATCCCAGAATCCTCAGTGTGTAACCTTATGGATGTAGTACCTGTGCGGGACTTGCTCAGCCTGTGATCTCCATCTTAGAACTGTGTGCAAGCTGACCTCATGGTTTTAATAGCCAGAGTAATTGTTCTACTTTGTTGTTGTTTTCCTCTTCCCATCACTCCCTGCCTGATGTTTTCATATGTGTCCAAACTTCAGAACAGCATCTTTAACTCACCACAATGCATTTTTATACAGGTCTGTCTGGCTTGGATGCTAAGGCTAGCGGTCGGTTAGGTACAAGAGCAATGGTTTACTATATGTCCACGACGATCATTGCTGCTATATTGGGAGTTATTCTGGTCTTAGCCATTCACCCCGGCAATCCAAAGCTCAAGAAACAGCTGGGAGAAGGAAAGAAGAACGACGAAGTGTCCAGCCTTGATGCTTTCTTGGATCTTATCCGAAACTTGTTCCCAGAAAACCTCGTACAAGCATGCTTTCAGCAGGTGAATGACAAACCTTTGCCTCCTACTAATATCCTGTGTGTGAAAACCATGACACTAAAAAAAGAACCGAAGAAACTAAAAACTAGATTTGCAGCTGTAAATTTAGCTTGTTTTATACTTATCAGTACAAAATAACAAACAGCAGTGCTTCTACTGAGTTCCTCATTCTTTGCACTGTTCAGTTTGCATTGTAGTTTATTTTAGTGCTTCATTCTTGATGAAAACATTCTTCAGTTTTTTTCTTTCCTACTCCATATACCTTCAGAATTTATTTTTGTTTCCCTGGAGCTTTAAAAGTCTGTCTTTTGTGTGGAAGGAGAGGAGAAGCACAGAAATACTTTTGATTTCCATGCCATTTGCTGAGCTTTTCAATTAAAGATTTTCCGTCAATGGACATGCGCTCTGAACCAATTTGCCTGGTTTTAATTAAAGTCAGTTAAGCTTAATATGATTAGCTTTGATTGGATCCAGACCTGCCCTATCACTAGGCAGCCAATTCTGAGCATTGTGGAAGGGCAGCATATTGCTAATGATCTAATTTATTATTATTGTGTTTGTATTGCCAGACTGGAGGTGAAGTGCTTGTGAGGTTTTTTTTCTGCCTTAGGTAACTAAATAACTTCACAGGTCTGGGGTACTTGGAGGGCAGGCCCAGTTGCTTCCCGGGCAGCAAAATGTCTTGGGCCAAACATATTTGACCAGAGCATGCTATATATCTTACTCCACATAGACATTTATTTTTCATGTATTTCAGTTAATAGGGCTGGGAATACGGTATATTCTTATTATTTTATTAATATTTTTTTTAAAAATAATATCGTTTATAAATAAATAAAGTGATAAGAGGAAAAGAAAAAAAGGGTTTAGAAAATAAAACTGCAGAACATACCGTATAATACAATTAGTAAAATCAATTACATTTCCACATATTGGTATATCAATATAAACAATATTATTATCTTAGTACATATGTGATTATTAAGAGCCTACTGCATTCTGTATAAACGCATAACAAATGTCAATATGTTCATCCAGACAAAGCCTGTGTCTATAAGCAATCCGTTCATAAGTTGTGAGTGTTGTCAGGTTGACAATCCATTGATTAAAAGGGGATCATATCTTTATTCTTCCAGTTCATCACTATCAGTCTCTTAGCCAGCACATGGAATCCATTTTTGTTGTCCCATTCTCTGCTTCCATGCAATAGGAATATAATTCAAAAGAATGTTCTCTGAATTTTTTTAACTTTTTCCGTACAATCATATTTATATAGTCCAGCACTTTCTCCCAGAACTTAGTAAGTATAGAACACTGTAAAGACATGAAGAGGCATTATCCTTATTTCATCTCCAGCAAATAACTACTTTAGGGCTGGGGGTATATTATAATTATTTGTACAGAAATATGTGTAAAATCAGATGCATGGAAGGCTGTTTCTATTCTTCAGTACATTGCTTAGAGAATACAATGCCACCGCGGCCACTGTTGCATGGGGGAAAACAATTTGATGTCTGGAAGAAAAGTGCCCAGGCAGTCAAAAGTTCTTGGCACTGAGCAAACCTATGGTGGGTGTATTCACCTACTTAGGGGTGAGGCATGTCACTGGATGATTGCTGGGGAGGGAAGGAAGTTTTTCCTGCAGTTGCCTATTCTACTCTTACTAAGTAGATAAACATTTCAGGCTGTAGTCATATTTCATCAGAAAAATATATTAAGATGATTTTTTTAAGGGTGGTATGAATGTTAGCCATGTTGTTCATGCTTTCTGCTCTACACACATGTATGAGCAGCCTTTTTCCTGAAGCTAAATTATTTGACAGTTACACAGACTTTTTTTTTTAATGATCCAAGCAAGATCCACTGCCAAACCTTTGCTAAGTATGCCTGAATGGCACCATTTAAAGGATTTTAAGTGCTATGTTATCTGAGGTCGTAGCTCTAGGCTGTACCGTGTGGGTGGGGAGCAGAGGAAGGACAGGACCACATAGGGAGACAGATGCAAACTGCTGCAGAACTAAGCTAGCTGCATTTTCCCTCTCTCTTACCTTGCACCCAAGAGCACCTAAAAGCCCGGTCCTCAATTCTATTTACCAAGAAGTAAGATTAACAGATTACAGTGGGGCTACCTTCCATGTAAACGTGCTTAGAATTGTAATCAAATCTGAGTGGCTTTAAAGGGCATGTTTATTCGATATACCATCAAAAGGAGTCAAATATGTAGAGGCAGTACGTTCCCAAAATTAGAACAGCATGCATTAAACGCTGAAATGAACTCTTCCTTCCCAGCTAATTGTATTTTACTGAAAGTGACAACTGGGCCCCTCGATGGGTAGAAAGCTGAGGAATGGGATAGTGGGCTGAAAGGGAAGCAAGTAGCTAGCTTACATTAGCCCCATCAGTCCTTTTATCACCCTCCCGGTGCTTATAATATTGAAAGACATGTTTATTCACGGTATCATCAAAAGGAGAGTCACATGGGTAGACAGTGTGTTCCAAAAAGTAGAACAATGTGTGTTCTGTTGCGCTGGTCTCTCCCTTTCCAGTTAATTGTGCTTAACAGGATGTGGGAATCGCCCCCTTGACTGGTAGAAAGCTGAAAGACTGGCTAAATGGGCTGACTGGGAAGCAAGCTACTAACTTCTTATATTGGCACTCTCACTCCTTTTATAAATCTCTGGGTGACTGTAATGTTAATGTCTTCTGGCAAGCAGCTCCTTTCAATTACTTCACTATTTTTTTGAGCTTTCTTTGTTCGTCGACAGTCACTTCGGTCAAGTATTTGTTAAGGTTAAGATGGATAGCTCAGCTGGTTAAGCACGACACTCTTAGTCTCAAGGTCGTGGGCGTGAGCCCCACGTTGGGCAAAAGACCACAGTCATGAACCTAACTTAGACATGTTTATTAATTTCAATGGGTCTACTCAGAGTAAAAGCTAGCAGAATACTACTCCCTGCCCACACTGTGTGTCAGCCACGATCTACAGAAGTGGGGAAAGACAGGCTTGGCCTCGGATCCAGGTTCTGTCATGTGGTGACATTGCTTGCGATTGCTGCGGCAGCCAGGGGCATTCTGAGGCGGGGTGGGTGTCATTCCAAAGGGGGGGAGACAATATGCCGACCTCTGATTGGCGGCACCTCCCAGGGCACGCACCGCTCACCACACCCCCCCCAGTGTACGCCACACCCCCGGGACACGCACTATGCCCTCACGGGTGGCGCACCATGCCTCCTGGGACCAGCGCCAATCCGGGTACCAGAGCAGGTTGCTCCGCCTCTGACGGCAGCTGTAGACTGGCACAACTACCTGTTTCCCCAGCTCCACCTCCAGCCTGCATGCTTGGTTGGGCTGTGGATATGATGGTTGTCACAATCCCTTCTATTGGGTTGCGTCTGTGGTAAGGGTTAGAGTTGAGCCATTAGCTTTCATTGGCATTTATTCACAGGTCAGCGTGTTTGCAGCCCTAAGCAAGTGGCAGCCCAACAAATAAAAGTTGCATTTCGACCCCTTTTTAACTCCAGAATTTTACTTATTAAAATAAAAGAACCCCTTGCCGTACGTACCATCTTATGAACCTTCTTAAGAGAGACATTAGGCCAAATGGCTAAACTTCTTTCTTCTGGGCCTATGAATCTGGCAATCTATACAACCATGTTTCCTGTTTTATCTGATCACATATACAATTTTACCTGTATGTAAGGAAAAGGCTTCTTGGATCCTTTCTAGCAAAGATGCTAGATTCTGCTTGGTGGCCAACAGAGGCCCTTAGACATCATGTGCACTCTTACTGCCAGTCTACACAATAGCTTTCGTTTCTTACATTAGTTTTCATACTGGTGGCTGCAGAATCCTGGAGTGCTTTCCAGGGTCCCTCAACAAGAAAAACAACTTCCTTGGCTTATCAGTTCACCTGCAGGGACAGTAATGTACAACAGGCTCAGCATTCTGTATGAACTGATTATCACCCTTTAACTCTTCCAAGAATCCTGTGCAATCCTTACCTGTCAACATGAAACCCTCCTTGAAGCTCAAAAAGTTGAGAATTGTGGTTTTAGAAAAATCCAAGAATAACAGTACTTGCCTCCTGCAGGTAGACATACCTGTCAACAGTGGCAGCCAGTGAGGTCATTTGTTAGGGGGGGAAATACTATTGCTGGTGGTTGCAAAGCAGTAGAGGGAGAAAGGGAATTTCCACTTTCACCTTTTGGCACCAGGAACTGGAGGTAGGGATTGGTCTGGGCCCTAGACATTTGGTTGCCTGAGGGAACTGGAAATGCCCCGGCAAGCTGGGTTACATAATATCCATTATTAAGATATTTTGACATGTGAGACTGAATATTCTACAAGTATCTCTCCCTTTCTGACTGCAGAAATAGAATAAAAAAATGAAATAGCTAACCACTTGTTGCCATTTCATGAGGGACAGCTGTTTACTCTGTCTAATGTTAGGGCCAGATGGTGCAATTGCTGAATGGATAATTCCTCAGATTTGAGTGCAGGGTGCTGACGTCAGCAGGGGTAACTCCACTCTGTAACTCTGCACTTGCATATGACTGACAGTGGGACGTCCCACCTCCTCCGGTGCCTAATGGTAAGGCTCTAGCACAACTTTTAATATTATACAGTAGTACCTCTGGTTACAAACTTAATTCATTCTGGAGGTCCGTTCTTAACCTGAGGTACCATTTTAGCTAATGGGACCTCCTGCTGCCGCCATGCCACAGCTGCACGATTTTTGTTCTCATCCTGAGGTAAAGTTCTTAACCTGAGGTACTACTTCCGGGTTAGTGGAGTCTGTAACCCAAGGTGTTTGTAACCCGAGGTACCACTGTACTGTGCAAGAGTTAAACTTTGCACTCGCCTTCTGTTGGATCCCACACATTGTGGTAGTAGTAGTAGTGATAATAATCATAATCATAATATACAGTCTTCTATTTCAAGAATAAATGTTTTCCAAATAGCTTACAGGGAACTCAATAGAAGCCATTGTCTCAATGATTTTCATCACCTGCCTAACATAGGTACTGGGTAAACAGTTACCGTAAATGGCAATGTGCCTATAGGGGAAGGGCTCTAGCTGAGTGGTAGAACTTCTGTTTTGCCTGCAGAAGGTCCCGGGTTCAAGGGCAGGAATTTACCTTTTCCTCTGTTCCCACATGATTTCTACTAGCAGTTTTACCTAGTAAGCCACTTTATCAGCTGCTTCTGCCTATCAGCTTTTGAACATTCAACAGGGTGAGTTTGACTCATTCCTAAGACTTGATGTCTGTGGCCCTTTGCCCCGGAATAATTGAAGAAAAGACAAGCAGGTATGGTTTTGTAATCTTTGCCTTTATTCAAGCCATCTCCCTAAAATCAAGATAGTAAGAAACTGTGATACTTGAAGGGTGAGCAATGAATATCAACTTACTATGGTGTTTAATTCTAAACTATGCGTCTCCTGCTTAATTGGCAAGCAAAGGGAATAATTAAGTAATTATCAGTTAACTACTTGAAAATTAAAGTCCTGCTAGACCTTCCTACAAGACCTTGAAGCTGAACTATTTAGCAGCTCCAGTATAGGAAATATCTTCATCCACAAACAAACAAATCTGCACAGCTTGCAAGAGTTTTCAGACTGCCATAATTTGCTTTGAACTAGCACTTTATTCCATTTCCTGTGACTTTAACAGGTGCAGGTTAATTAGAAATTCAGTAGATACAATTCCCACCCCCAAATATACAGCAAGAGAAATTTGAGGCTGGGCTTTTTTATTCTGGCAAGATCAAAATACCTCCATGTCCTGCTTGTTTGTGGGCTTCCTGTAGGCATCGGGTTGGCTGATGTGAGAACAGGATATGGGACATGGGACCGAGGACTCTTGTTTTGATCCAGCAGGGCTCTTTGTATGTTACGGAGTCCAATAAGTAATTTAACATTTTGTCTACTTTTGTCCAGAGTATCAAATGGAAGGGACTGGTTGACGTGGAGACGAACTAGAGCGCCCTGTATCTAATACAAATTAATGGAATTTCAAGCTGCGTATCAAAGCCTTAGTGTTGTTAAGACAAGTTTAAGACAAGGGCCTGTATTGTAGTTATAGGGGAGGAAAGCCTAACTTGTGTTGACTCCCAGACATTTTTGCACATTCTGGGACATTGGTATGTACTTGTAGCCACTGGCTTTTTATTATGGTTCCTGTCGGTATACCAGGAATTAAATCAAGCCTGCATTGGGCATGCATGACTGACTCAGTGTGTACTAGAACAGGTGGAAGTCAGTGTGACCAAAGCTTTTCCCACAGCTGCATACAGTGCCTTAGTGATGAGAATAAATCCTGATGTGACAGTCCCTGATAACGCCAGGCCTGGTCTCACCAAGGCTGCCAAAACTCCATAATTTTGCTTTGTTTCCAATAAGGTCTTCAGCAATAACCCTTCAGTTGCAGGAAATTCTGCTGTTCTCAGAGCCTTTGTAATGTTTTAAAGATGACAGAATTCTCAAGATAATAATCAACTCCATGAAAATATGTAGGCATTTTGGCTTGCTTAAGAGCTTCTGCTTTTGCTTGCTGCGTTTCAAAGCCACACATTTCCGCAGGGTGCTCAAGCACATTTTTTTAGATTATTAATAAGATGTGAATGTAGTAAAATGGTTAGCGTAATCTGCATTGTTCCCTTAATCATTCATGATGCCGCTATGACTGGCAGCTTAGCAGAAAGAACAAATATAACTGTTAGCTGATTTTCCTAACTTTGCTATCTGACTAAATTGTCTGGTGAATTAACTCTTCCCCTTTCATTGAGCAAACTGCATGTGTGGTTTCAGCAAGACAAAATCAACTTTGCACAGACGCTTTCGGAAGTACCTCCTGCAGACTTGAATGCCTTGCATTCCCACTGCATAGTAAAAAGGACACACAGCATTTTTTAATGACTGGTAACCTATTTTTGAATATCCACTAGATTTAGAAATTCTGCCTCTGTTCCATTGCCAGCTAGACCTTTCAAGTCATTCTTCGAATGGAGTTCGTAGATTATGGCTTGTATACAACAAAGTTGTCCTGTTTGCACAAAGACTCCTGCTTGCTCAATGAAACTTTCCCTCCCTCTCCTCTCCCTATGTGCCCCCCTAAATATGCTCTGGAAGCTTGGGGGGAAACTCAGAACAGATTTTGGGGAGCTCAGAGGGCTGACAGGCATGGGAGATACCATCGTACATGTGCGCATCCTTGTGTGAATGGAATTACTTTCTTTGATACAACCCAAACTATTTATCTACTTCTCACAGAAACGATAGATAAAAATATTAGTACAGTGGTACCTCGGGTTGCATACACTTCAGGTTACATACGCTTCAGGTTACAGATTCCGCTAACCCAGAAATAGTGCTTCAGGTTAAGAACTTTGCTTCAGGATGAGAACAGAAATCGTGCTCCTGCGGCACGGCAGCAGCAGGAGGCCCCATTAGCTAAAGTGGTGCTTCAGGTTAAGAACAGTTTCAGGTTAAGTACGGACCTCCGGAACGAATTAAGTACTTAACCTGAGGTACCACTGTACATCCAAAGATGAAAGTAAACACTGTGGGAGTCATTGTACCTGCATTTGGATTTGCTCCCATATAATTCCCTCCTGATTTGGGTAGAGTTATTGCTTTATTATAGTGATGTTTCCCCAAGGGTGGTTTTTAGGAAGGATCAGAGATGTCTTGTGTTGTTGTGCTTTCTAATGGCAGAGTTGGATTTGTGTCTCAGTCCACAGACCTTAGCACAGAGCAGCAGGGTGCATACACAAAACTAGTAATGTCCAGGGCTCCCTAAACCACAAGAGCCCTGACTGACCACCCAGAGAGCAGCAGGTGATGGAGGCAGTAGCAGACAGGCCCTGCATCAGCATCTCAGCCAACAAGGGCATGCTGGAACTGTCACTCGCCACCACCACGGCATCCTTTCCTTCTTTAATTTAACATCCTTTTATAGTTAGGCAGCAGCCAAGCATGTCCATGGTTACAGATGCTCATGTTATTTTTACTTTAAATATATATTATTCTTTGTCTACAACAAAATGGTGCTGAATCTCGAGTTTATCATCAGGGCAGCTGAAGCACAGTACGTTTTCTTTCTGTAGTCATGATGATGCTAATTGAATGAGTTCTTTAAAATGGGAAACGGCACATGTTCAAAGTACTTCTTTTTTATTAGGGCTGGCAAACTACTTTTTGTTTAATTTTTGCTCTAACATAACAAGGATACAAAAGCTCTTGTAAAGCATGGAATGGAGATGGGGGAAGAAGCAAATGGTGTAATTGTGTACAGCAGTAACATAGAGCTATGTAAATGTGTTTGTGCAAGGTTGCTGAAGACAATAAAGTCCAGGGTCTAAATTTACCTAGTTGCACTGGTGATTTGCAAGGGCAGGTGCCAGAAGAAATTTAGAAGGGGGAGTTCAAGCTCAGACTTTGCACTGCTTATGTAGCAGGTAACTTTACACCTGAATTTGCAGCCCTGTATTTTGATTCTTTCAGATTCAAACGGTCACCAAGAAAGTGCTTGTCCCTCAAGAGATCGATGAACCAGCCAATGCAACAGACTCCATCTTTGACATGTTGAATGAAACAGAAGTGACACCAGAACCTCAGCTAGTCATTAAGAAAGGCCTCGAATTTAAGGATGGCATGAATGTCTTAGGTATGGAAACACTTTTAGTGCATGTGTGCTTCACGGTTACCGTATTTTTCGCACCATAGGACGCACTTTTTCCCTCCTAAAAAGCAAGGGAAAATGTGTGTGCGTCCTATGGAGCGAATGCAGGCTTTCGCTGAAGCCTGGAGAGTGAGAGGGGTCGGTGCGCACCGACCCCTCTCGCTCTCCAGGCTTCAGGAAGCTATCCGCTAGCCGTGGGAGACCCAGCTCTCCCACCACTAGCGGAGCGCTGCATTAATCCCGAAGCTTGGGGCGTGCGGAGCTCAGCGCGCCCCAAGCTTCTGGGTGCAAGCAGGGTCTCCGCTAGCCCTGGGAGAGCCCCGCGACGTCGCGCGGCTCTCCCAGGGCTAGCGAAGCACTGCGCTAATCCCGAAGCTTGGGGCGTGCAGAGCTCAGCGCGCCCCAAGCTTCTGGGTGCCGGCAAGGTCTCCGCTAGCCGTGGGAGAGCCCCGCGACGTCGCGCGGCTCTCCCACGGCTAGCGGACCGCTGCGCTAATCCCGAAGTTTGGGGCGTGCAGAGCTCAGCGCGCCCCAAGCTTCTGGGTGCTGGCAAGGTCTCCACTAGCCGTGGGAGAGCCCCGCGACGTCGCGCGGCTCTCCCACGGCTAGCGGACCACTGCGCTAATCCCGAAGCTTGGGGCGTGCGAGCTCAGCGCGCCCCAAGCTTCTGGGCGCCGGCAAGGTCTCCGCTAGGCTAGCGGAGACCTTGCCGGCGCCCAGAAGCTTGGGGCGCGCTGAGCTCCGCACGCCCCAAGGTTCGGGATTAGCGCTCTGCTAGCCGTGTCTAGGCTGCAGATAGCAGCCTTCTTCCCGGAGCGTCGGGCGCCCTGAAAGCAGAGCTCCAGGCGCTTCGGGAACACATCCGCAGCGTGGGGAGGCTTGCAGGAGTTCCCCACAGGGCTCCCCACGCTGCGGATAGCAGCCTGCTGCCTGGCGGGTGGGGCGCCCTGAAGCAGAGCGCCCCTCGCGCCAGGCAGACATCCGCAGAGTGGGGAGCCTTGCAGGAGTTCCCCACAGGGCTCCCCACGCTGCGGATAGCAGCCTGCTTCCCGGAGTGTCGGGCGCCCTGAAAGCAGAGCGCCTGGCGCTTCCGGAACACATCCGCAGCGTGGGGAGGCTTGCAGGAGTTCCCCGCAGGGCTCCCCACGCTGCGGGTGGCAGCCTGCTGCCTGGCGGGTGGGGCGCCCTGAAGCAGAGCGCCCCGCGCGCCAGGCAGACATCAGCCAGCCCCACAAGCTTGGGGGACAGCAGGGAGGCGCAGCGCCACTATCCCGCTGTTCCTCGACCTGGTTCGGTTTCCCTGACCTGCTTTTGGGGGGGAAATAAAGGGAAATTTTTTCCCCTTTATTTCCCCCCCAAAAAACTAGGTGCGTCCTATGGTCCGGTGCGTCCAATCGTGCGAAAAATACGGTATTATTGTATCAATATTGTGCATTGTTTTGAATATATTGTTATCTTGTCGTAACCCACCCTGGGACCTTAAGGTAAAAACGCTAACTAAATGATTAAATGTTTTATTGCATTCATATTATATATGCTGTAAAATGCCTTCAGACTTTTTAATTTAAAATATATGTAAAGCAATATTCAAGTCCAATAAATCATATCATATATTATCCTCCTATATTATCTGTATGGTTGCAGGTGATTCCAAATCTGTTCAGTCATTGAGCATTTACACACATATACAGATGAATGCTTATCCATCTAAAAGCGGCATATGTTTATATCATTTGGTCATCGTGACAATCTTTTATATTATGATAGATTTGTTAGGAGATAAAATAAGAACAGTACATGCTTGAGTTTTCCTAGGAACACTGTTCTTCCTAGCATGGAGCAGGACTGATGGGACTTATAGGCCAAAACACCTGAAGAGCACCAAGTCATCATATAACAGGTTACAGCAAGGTATTAATAGCAATGGGTTGTATCACATGCATCACTTGTGCAAGGGAAACTTTATCTTTTCCTCACTCTGTTCCTTGTGCCCCCCCCCAAAGCTTCTCCTGAGAGTAGAAGAACACTTAGGGCCCTTCCAGACCTGTGTTTTACTGGGGGTGTATTCTGCAATATGTTCATGACACAAAAATAGTCTGAGCTAACTTGAAGCCTGATTTAGTAAGGTATATATATATATATATATATATATACGCTTTCGTAGATTTTCACGGGTACAGGAATGCATATATATATATACACATATATACATATATATTAATTAATAAGATTGCAGGAGTGTGGGTGCTTCGTTTTGACAGAGCCTCAGTAGCGTTTAATATTTTAGCATTCTTTCAACAGGACTCATTGGGTTCTTCATTGCTTTTGGTATTGCAATGGGCAAGATGGGAGAACAAGCCAAGATGATGGTGGATTTCTTCAATATCTTGAACGAGATTGTAATGAAGCTGGTAACCATGATTATGTGGTAAGTCAAAATCATCATCTGCCAACACACGCTAAATCCAGTTGTATTCTGGACATCATTTTGTAGCTTTTCTGTAATTTCTGCATGACCTACCTCACTATATTGGTCTGAAGCTACAGCAATTATTTCGATTGTTTGCTTTTCACAATTGTATCCTGCCCTTAGCCCACAAAGATCAGAATGGCATAAACAGAAGTCCCGTTCCCCCCCTCCAACAGTTAGGCAGCCGGAACAGAATGTGTGAGTTTGGACCAAACTCAACCTGGGGAGTTAATGGGATGCTGAGAGATTTGAGCTGAGGTCTCATCAGTTCAAGTTCAGAAGTGCCACACCACACCTCATTTGGTCAGAGAATCAAATGAGGCTGTTGCTTTGTTTTTGCATATTTAATTTACTGCGGATGCTTGAGGCTTTCTTCTACCAGAACACACTGGATTGGCCCCAGAAGAACTTGATCTTCGCACAGCCACTGTCCCTGCATCACTGCTGGGACCGATTCCTAATACGATGCATCAACAGAAGACTTACCTTCAACCCATGACTCTTGTACATTTGCATAGAAGAGAACATTTAGTCTATGGAGACACATTCCTTTATTTCATATCCAAAGGGACATTCTTTCCTATTATTTATGGCTACTCTCTTAGGAAAAGATCCACCCCCTCCAGCAGCTTTGGTGATTTATGAAACTCTTGTGAACACCATAATGACATAAAACAAAATTGGGCATCTGCTAAGGATGTTTCGTAACCCTTATTTAAGGATTATCCTCAGTGACCATTTCAGGAAGCAGACTGCCTGGCACCTGAGAAAACTGTGCAAAATGGGGATTGTGCGAAGCTCATAGAAGCTCCTGATTGATTTGCTGCTTCTGGGCAATGCTTGGATGGTTCATGAGAAGGTCAGATGGAGAGCAGACATTCCTTTTTTAAAAAGCCCAGTTCCAGTTTTGCTTCCTAAATCTATCTCTCTATAAAAAATTAAGTTTCAGATTGCAAAAAAAGAAAGTTAATATAGAGCATAAGAGTGGAGATTCCTTTAAGCCACCTGCTGCTCAGCAAAATTAATCATCATCAACGATAAATAAAGCTCTCTCTGACACAGTAACCCTTGTTGGTGGGTAGGCACCAGAAATTGCTTGGGAGCCTGATATAGCCCACAGGACATGGGGTAGCCACTCCTGCTTCAAGGCCATTGTTGAAACCTTCACCTCTATTCCTGTCTGCATGGAATCCCAGCTGGAAGCTTCTCAGTAGCTTGAGTTCTGGGTATGGGCAGGGCCAGTGAGTCTCTTTGTGGGAGGTCTGGCAAGCCACCCATTCGCTAAGTGGTGTCATTATTAACTGCTGGAGGGGATGGATCATAGGAAAGAAAACAACCAAACAAAAGGTTTGCTTCTACGATATTATCAGCATGTATTAGGTTTGTCAGCAAGCAAGGTTTCGGCTGGTCTGCAAAACATTTTACTGTCTGGGCACAAGCAATGTACTGGCACAAGCAATGAAAAGCTCAGCTGAGTCAGTTAACCATCCTAACTGCCTGGCAAAAGCCACCACTAGACTTTCAGGAATTGTAAGGCTTTCTCTGGTCCAAGAAATTATCAGGGCTCTAATAATACAGTACTGCTTCTGTCGTAGCCACTCTCACAGTGCTTATCTATTAGGGGTGGAGAATTTTTTCCCCTTCTATCAAGAGCCCTTGACACACAGAATAAATCAACTACTGCTACCAGCACCCCCTGCACACAAAGGGGAGAATGCATCTGTCCTGTCTCAAAAGGGCTTTAAAATTTGGCAGTTTGTGCTGACGGAAAGCCAGCCTATTTGCACTTTCACCTCTGAAGGCACAGATCAGTTTTCAAACGTGCCAATCCTCAGGCAGAAGAGCTTTGAAGATGCTCTGGTGGCTGAGAGCCACCCCCATCTGCTTCTTCAAAGGTAAAAATAGATCTGGTCCCGTATCAGCCAGCCACTTTCAAAGCTGTCCTCAAGACTGTGGACTGAATTAAGCCAACAGGATAGTGCTATTTCAGTCAGTTTCTGCAGCATAGGGCCATGCAGCCCCTGGTCCCATCATTCAATAGTGGGGGTGTTTGGGGCTGAAAGGTTTTCCATCAAAAGGTGATAATTTAAAGCTACATGGTATAGCTTTATCAGCTGCCCTTATGATGCCGTTTCTGTTTTGAGACACAGACTTCTGCAACTGCATTCTTGTTTAATGCCGCGTTTTCTTCTAGGTACTCGCCACTGGGCATTGCCTGCCTCATCTGTGGAAAAATCATTGCAATCAAGGACCTGGAAGTAGTTGCTAGGCAACTTGGAATGTACATGGTAACTGTGATCATAGGCCTTATCATCCATGGAGGGATCTTCTTGCCTTTGCTGTACTTCGTGGTGACAAGGAAAAACCCCTTCTCATTCTTTGTGGGCATCTTTCAGGCATGGATTACTGCGCTAGGCACTGCTTCGAGGTATTTGATATGAAATGCAAAGTTAGCAACACGTTCAGGGCCATTATAAATACTTTGCTAACCAGACTTTCTCAGCTGAATGTGTGTGGATTAGCAATACCTGTGAGCTGATCAATTAACCTAAAAATGAAGAAAAGGTGTAAACTGGATTTCACGTGCCCACAAACTCAAACCTGGTCCATAGCATTAACTGCTGTGATTGCAGCTACTTGGTTCAGATGACATCTGTTCCCTCAGGGATTGCCTGCAGGAATTGGGGCTGGGTGAAAGTCTTCTCCAGGGCTGGCCTAGACCATATAATGCTGCATTGGAAGTATCATTTTCAGGGCTTTTTTTCCAGCCCGGAACTGAGTTCTGGAACCCCCTCAGATGGTGCCATTGCCACTCTAAGAGAATGAGGGAGGTGTTCCCTCTTTCTGGCACCTCTTTTTCTAGAAAAAAAGCACTGGTCATTTTACCATATGACATCTAAATGAGGAACGGCTAAGGGAGCTGGGCATGTTTAGCCTGGAGAAGAGGAGGTTAAGGGGTGATATGATAGCCATGTTCAAATATATAAAAGGATGTCATATAGAGGAGGGAGAAAGGTTGTTTTCTGCTGCTCCAGAGAAGCGGACACGGAGCAATGGATCCAAACTACAAGAAAGAAGATTCCACCTAAACATTAGGAAGAACTTCCTGACAGTAAGAGCTGTTTGACAGTGGAATTTGCTGCCAAGGAGTGTGGTGGAGTCTCCTTCTTTGGAGGTCTTTAAGCAGAGGCTTGACAACCATATGCCAGGAGTGCTCTGATGGTGTTTCCTGCTTGGCAGGGGGTTGGACTCGATGGCCCTTGTGGTCTATTCCAACTCTATGATTCTATGATTCTATGAAATGCCATGTTAGTCCGTTCACAACTTTGATGGACAATTCATATGATGATGGATTCATCTCATATAAGAGTATAAAGGTGAATGGAGATGACAGAAATCCTTCCGTAAGCCCAGCACCCCAGGCCTAGATCACCTGCCCTAAATCCAGTCCCAGACTTGTCCTTAGCACCGATAACCGCTGGGTCTTTTCTAGTTTTCCTCTTCAGAAGTCTGACATATCTTTCCAATCAGGCAAGGCTTTCCACTTTTAGTCATGATCTTCTCTGCTTTTCCAGCAGAACCTTCTCAGGTTTCAGACATATGCCCCCACCCCAGTTAATAGGAGGCTGTCATCTCCCTCTCTTCCCAAGGCACCTCTGCCAACTGACCTCTCCTTCTCTGAGTTCTTTAGTCCCTATGACAACTAGGAGTAGTTATGTTATTAGAAATCATATCAGAGTTTTTAAAAATACTGTACAATAGCATGCATGGGGGGGGTTTCTTCTGAACATGGGGGTGTGAGGTTTAATTGTTTCCTCCCCAGTTGCATTCCCAACAAAAATTTTTCCTGTAACTATGAACCTTAAAAACTAAAGATCTTATTGGAGCCAAAGTGAGATTTTGCTTTGTGGCTCATTGCCATATGCGAGGGGTACGGTTTTTGTTGGAATTGTAACTAAGGAGGTAAGGGTTGCTGTCCTTCAGGTGAAATATTCCATCATGCCTGCTATCAATTTTGGGTTGTTTAAACAAATTATCTGCCTTGGTTTCTAATGGCACATGTTGTCACATCTGGTTTTACCCGCATTCAACAACTGTCAAAATATATACATCTACAGGGGCATGCACAAGCTTTGATCAAAACACTGTGCATAAGCAATTTTACAATCATAGAATTTATACGCTTCCATCAGTTCCAGGACGGATGAGGCAGAAGTTGAACTGTGGACAGACAGAGACCTGGTGAATGTGTGTGTAAGATGCCTAGTTGCTCCCCCAGAGTGTCAATAGAGCTATCTGTCCCAGGAAGTCTGAATTTTTCCTATAGCTTTTCATTTTGCTTTCTCCTTCAGTGCTGGTACACTGCCTGTTACCTTTCGCTGCCTTGAAGAAAACTTGGGCATTGATAAGCGTGTGACAAGATTTGTCTTGCCTGTTGGGGCCACTATTAACATGGATGGGACTGCCCTATATGAAGCTGTGGCAGCTATCTTCATAGCACAGATGAATGGAATTGCGCTGGATGGTGGACAGATAGTCACTGTCAGGTGGGTTTCTTGTCCTACACTGGAGATGGTGAAAACATGAACATTACAGACCTTGCCTGTTGCAAAGCAGTTTAAAGTTGTGAGCCTCCATTGTAATAAACAGTGAAAAGCCTTGGCTGCTTTTGCCAGTTCCCAAGTAGAGCATCACGTATTGCAACCTACATGGGAATTACACAGTTTTCTACATGAAGTAATTTCTGTGTAGGGATTTGTAAGACATGAAAGCAGACCTTGATTTCTGTCTATAACCTGCTTTCAGAGGCAGTGCTAATGTGTTGTGTAGAGATTTTCATTGTACTTGATTATAAATAATGGAAAATAAATATACTCAAGTTTAAAGGTAAAGGTACCCCTGCCCGTACGGGCCAGTCGTGTCTGACTCTAGGGTTGTGCGCCCATCTCACTTAAGAGACCTGGGGCCAGCGCTGTCCGGAGACACTTCCGGGTCACGTGGCCAGCGTGATGAAGCTGCTCTGGCGAGCCAGCACCAGCGCAGCACACGGAAACGCCGTTTACCTTCCCGCTATAAAGTGGTACCTATTTATCTACTTGCACTTGGGGGTGCTTTCGAACTGCTAGGTGGGCAGGAGCTGGGACCGAAAGACGGGAGCTCACCCCTGCCGCGGGGATTCGAACCGCCGACCATGCGATCGGCAAGTCCTAGGCACTGAGGTTTTACCCACAGCGCCACCCGTGTCCCATACTCAAGTTAGCATGAGTTAAATGAATCACATATTGCTTTAATCAAAAATCATTAAATAAGAGTGCTTATGGAAAACAAATGTTTTTTTGCAAAATCAAAAGACTGGTGTGTTAATAAAACTACTTTAAACTCAGTCAAAATCTTCTAAATTACAATATTAGAGGCTGCACTGAAATAACAGGGAATGTGTTCCTACAGAAGTTGGAGTGATCAAGCAGTTCCCATATTTGTAAGAGAAACACTAACTAAGAGAAGGCCCAACTAAACAAGTGGATGTGTTTAATTTCACAGTCTGACAGCTACGCTTGCGAGTGTTGGAGCTGCGAGTATACCCAGTGCAGGATTGGTGACCATGCTTCTCATCCTCACCGCAGTGGGCCTTCCCACACAGGACATCAGCTTACTTGTTGCTGTAGATTGGCTTTTGTAAGTAACATTAAAGAAACTTGTCACTTTTCTCCAAACAGTGATGATGTGGCTTAACTACCCACTCAGGTGTCAACTCCTTCATGATCAATAATGCTTGCTACGAGAAGCACTCCTGGATGTGCAGCAGCTGACCAATGTTTATGCAACAAAGCATTTAAAGGAAATGCACACAGATTGTTTCTGATACCCAACTGTAGCGAAATTGGAGTGGAGCAGAAATCGGCAAGCATTGTTTGCAGATAGTAGGAGGATGTTAACTTAAAGCATGTGGTTGTTTGCTGTTTCAAGGAAATGTCATTGAAGTAAAAACATTTCACTTGATGGAGAAGTCCTGCCTCCTAAATGGGCAAAGCCATAATTCAGCTGCAGAGGCAAGGTGTTAGCAAGGGGGTAGGGCTAAGGGCTTACCATTGTGTTTCTGATCATTCTCATGTGGTAAAAAATACCTGTCCCCTGAAGCAAGCCCTGTGGCGAATTGTGCTGCTGACATTTGCTTCTTTAGAAAAGGTCAGATTGAGCAAGACAATATCATGGTAGCGCAAAGGAAAAGAAGCTCAAACCTTCCATAGAGGAATGCATAGGAACTGATGGGAGTATCTGGGCTTTTCACAGCACAATCCTAGGCATCTCCTGAGAAATATTTGAGAGATTTCACACTGATTCACACAATCTTCCCTGGGCCTTTTTTCAAATTAGTTTCACTTTACTGTGCATTTGTGTGTGTTAAGAGTGCACTATAGAAAATACTCAATAAAATACTGTTAGAAATAATTGCAGCTTTATAGTATGGTCATGTAATATACAGACCTTCCTCTCTTCTTTTTCTTGTAAAGGCTATTTCACCCTAAAAAGAATTCTTCTGAGACAGGTCTTCTGTCAGGTTTTAAACCTGAAGTGGCCCATAATTAGTCTACTTAGATCAGTGGTGCCCAAACTTCAAAGAGGACCAGATTTGATGTGAGGGCCAACCAAGTGTGAGGGCTTTTTGAACTTTTTTTGTGAAATGAAGTTGAGCTTTTTTTTACAATTTTACCCCAAAGTTCTTAAGCTTTTTTTAGAATTGAAGTTTACCCCAAAGTTGTTGAGCTTTTTCTTGGATTTTACCTCAGGGCATTTACTGCCACGGGGGCTGGATTAAATCGACTGGCAGGCCTGATTAGGCCGCCAAAACAGAAAAAGAGAGAGAGAAAATAGTAAGAACATGTCCCCAGTAAGAGTATTGCTGTTATGCATGTGATGTCTAGATTGCAGGTAGTTTGGATTCCAGGAGATCTTCCCATTGGTGCTGGTGGGGCAGCTTGAAATCCTTTCCCAAAGGACTATTGTATCTAGCAATTATATCAGTGCACCTTGTAAGTCTGTTACAGTTACTGAATAAAGCAGAAATATATTTTATTGTTGAGAAGCACCCAAGCAAACTTCTTACAAGTCCTGAGGTATAAAATATGTCTGGGGTTTTTTAAGTACTTTTGGTATGAGCTAAATAGACTGACATGAATGAAATCTGGGAAGAAGGAAAAAAACATGGGGGGAAAAAACATACAAGGGTAGTCATTCTTCATTATGAAAACTGAAATATTAAGAAACCAGGTCATTCACTTAAAATTTATCAGGAGTAAACCTTTTCCAATTTATTATACTGTGTCAATCCTGATTCAAAATTGCTGTAATACTGGGTTGCAAACTCCATCTTTAAAATTATATAAAATATGCTGGATTTTATTTTATTTCTTTTGCTCTGTATAGTGTAGGGAAGATATATACAGACTTCACAAGGAAATCTTTTTTAAGTGTTCTGATCTCCTGCTGTTCCTCCACTCCAAAGTGAACAAAAATGGCATTTTAAAGAACAGTGTTATTTGTCCACAGCTGGAATTAATCCAGAGTCATTAGTGGTAGCCAAGAACTGCAAGTTTCCAAAGGGGAAATTGACAAGCTTAGCAAATGTCACGGAAAGGTCTCCAGCACAGAGATGCTATGCCCAAAGAAATGGAGAATTAGAAAGGGCCTTCTTGTGTAAATGGTTCATGTTCAGCTTCTAAAATGCTTGCTGAAATGTAGAGCTACCACTGCAAATTTAGCGTGAACACCTGATTTTTCTTCCCCTTTGGCATTCTGTGAAACCAAGCCAAAAAATCCATGATTTATGACTGAAAAACGCCTGGGGGAATCACATTTTAATTTTTAGTACTTAGGCCTGGTGCTAAATAATAAATTGAGGAACAATGAGGGCCTATGTAAAGGAAATGGACATACCATGAAGGTTGTCTGAAATTACTCTCTATGGTAGCTTTCTCCACATAGGAAGGTTTCAGCATGCAGTGCAGCACCTCACAGAAGGGGGATGTTTCTCCATCTCACTGCAAACTTACAAAATGATTGTTGTGGAATGAAGAAAACCACCTGATTGGCACAATGACTGACTGCCATGATACACAGATGCAGTCATCATGGGAAGCAGTTGAATTAAAGGTTCTCTGACCCCTATTAAAACTGGGCTGGTAGTAAGTGAACCGGCCACACCTACAGATGCCAGGCTTCTTTGGGGCAAGTGTTTCACAATTGTACACTTCATATCCACACACAGTGATAAGGAATGGGTGCTGCAAGTGGATTGTTTCATGCAATCTAACTGAAATTTATAACCGACCTGCTGCTGAACGCTATTTTGGCACCTGTTTATAGAAGGTTCGGTATTGGTCATCTACAAGGAAACAGATTTCTAAGCGTCATCTCCTTTGGCAGTGGCTTAACAGGTGAAGACAAAAGAGAAGGGCATTTTAAATGATATGTATATCATTCTAAATTGTTGGTGCATTCCAACAATAATCTTAAACAGATTATTTTTTGAAACCATGATATTAAGAAGAGAATTAAACAAAAATGGTAATCTGATTAGCATTTTAGAATAAAATCAGTGTATTCAATGACCATTTCTATTCAATTCCCTGCTTCTGTTTCTGAAAAAAATGTATTTTGACCATATCTTAGGCTTGCCATATGTCAGGAAAATGCCTGACATGTTCTGGTTTTCGGGTGTAAAAATGGTGTATGGGGAGAATTTTGCTGAATAGGCAAAATGTCAGGGAAAACCCAGATGTATGGCAACGTGATGGAAAAAGCAGTGGAAACAGTTCCAAAAAGCTTAAAATCACTATTTTGGTGAAGGCAAGTTGGGTTTGTTCCTAAAAAAGCCCAAGAACTTTGCAGGTGTCAGGAACCTACCATATCTGTACTGTGATCTGATAATAATTATTTTTGTGTGGAACACTTATAAAGTGCTTAAAATACACTAAGCAATGTTAGAAGTTTGGTAAAAATGGGGATGTGACTGCACAGACCTTCTATGAATCTGGTTTTTTTCAGTAGGACACAATCTACAGTCATGTCACTATTTGATTACATAGATGAACCTTTAAAAGAAAAAGTGTTGCCCCATTTTTTTTCCACTTCTTGATGGGATTTCTCTGTACAAAATGAACATGTGCAGCTTCTCAGAAATCCCAAGAGACTGTGGGAACTACCCATTTTTTCCCTTTGCAGCATCAGGGTCATGCAAATTATGAGATCTCTTGACTATAATTCTTTTTCAAATGTTCAAAGGAACATAAAGCTAGTAAAGGTTAAAGTAACCACTTTAGGTGTAAGCTATGACACTCAGGTCTACTTTAACATCCTGCTGATGCTTTGCTATTGCAGAGATCGAATGAGAACCTCTGTCAATGTTGTGGGAGATTCCTTTGGAGCTGGCATTGTCTATCACCTCTCCAAGGCAGAGTTGGAAAACATTGATGCCCATCACAAAGGGCACGAAGATATTGAAATGACCAAGACACAGTCCATTTATGATGACATGAAAAACCACAGGGAAAACAACTCAAACCAGTGTGTTTATACAGCCCACAACTCTGTCATAATAGATGAGTGCAAGGTACCTTTCACATTTATGGATATTGAGACTTGCATCTAGTCAATCATACCTCATCTTCCTTTGTTTTTTAACCTGCATGTATTTTTTTAAAAAATGTATCACTAATAATGGGACAATGCTGCATGCTATGTTGATCAGTTTAAAGACGTGGGTACATATATTGTTTGCTTTCTTTGAGTATTTAAATTGCTAATGCATGCCATGTTTACAAATAACATTGTGTTCTACAGGGTGTTTTGGAAGGCAGTGCAATGCAATGGGGGAATATTGTCCAGTTAAGCATTCTTATAGCTTCCCGTTACAAGAAAGGTTGCAAATGCAGTTAATAAGGCCTATAGATAAATAGGAGAATTGATGTGGCAATTGGAACGGTTAAAACTGCCTAAAAACAAACAAACAAAAAAATCTCCACCATTTTCTCCTCCAGATCAGAGCAATTCTGTTGCCTTTGTGTGTTTGGAGAATCCATGATGGAGCAGCTACCACATTTAAAGCCCTGCTGAGTAGCTGTAGCCTGAGCAGGAGGCTTCCCCTCTCTGTTGGCATCTTCTGTTTCTTTCCCTCCCCTCTCATGGACCGCAGGTGGTGAAGGGGGTCAACAACACCAATTCCAGGGGTGACATAGTTTGGGAGCTTTTGGGGGAGTGTGTCAGGGGAACTAGGGGACTTAGAATCCTGTAGGTCCATGACCTCCCCCAACATGCCTCCTGAACTCCATGTTTCAGACCACACCACCGGTGGAACACCACTAACAGGCCATACCAGAGGATCTCCAGCATCGTAAGTGTCATCCTGCTGGAGGACTTCTCTTTCCACTGGTGGAATGGCACTTCCTCCACTTCTTCTCATCCCCTGGCCAACCAAATGTGATTTTGGCCTTTTAAATGATATTTAAAAGTGACAGTTCAGAGCGCAAGATAGTTAACTGTTTGGAAACAGAAGTTCAGTCGAATCCAGAGATTTTTCTTGCGCATCCCGCAGGGAGGAGCAGAAGCAACACAAAAGTCATTTGTTTCAGTGGGTTATGTTCCAGGAGCCTGCCATTTTCCCGAGTAGAAAAAGGCAGAAATTGGAAGCACACTTCCTTGCTTCTTTTGAAATCAACGGCAGATACTTCCAAGTGAACGTAATTAAGATCAGGCTGTAAGGAAACTGGAGGAGAAAATATGAAGCTGTTTCTATTTATATACAGTTAGGGGGGGAGCAAAGATATGCTCAAGAAAGAAGCTCATTCTCATGCTTCCCCTGACACCCAAATAAATGCAAAGCCTGTCCTTTTGTGGATCGATGCTTTCCATGACACACTGTAGAGACACATGCACTGTACCTCGTCCTCAGCAACTGAGAGCTCTTGTGCTCGCCATAATATTTATGCTTTATTTTCATTTTCATTGTGGGCCATTCCAATGCCATTTTTTGTGATTTCTGTCTATTGCTGTTTGTAAATTACTTGGTTCAAGAAGAGATTATAACAAGAATTGACCTGACCAAGAGTTACATGAACTTGAGGAAACTCCATGGCTGAATGAGAAACTAATTTGGATGCTTTGCATCTTGCTTCCAAACTCATCCTTGTGGACGCATCACTGTTGTCTAGCATGATGTCTGAATGCAGCCATTGGTGAGACTGGGCCTGGCTGGAGAATTGAACTGAACAAACATTTTTCTTTAGGCAGATCTACAGTTTCCCCTAATGTGCTGTCATTAAAGGATTGCCATAGCCATTTCAGATTTTGATTAATGTTTCAGCTGGATAGTCATCAAGCTCACTTACTTGATACTGATATTTCTAAGTCCCAGTAGGGAGAACAGAGGAGAGAAACCATTGATGGCTGCGTACAACATCAGGTTTCTAAAATCACACAAGTAATTTAAAAATAACAAAGCTTTGCCTGTAACTAAAAACAATTTGACAGAAAGGCTTTATAAATGTGCCAGTTCTAAAGAAAGGCACCATTGCTCTGACATTATGCCTAGGACCTGAGTTTATTTCTCTGAAGTAGGCATCTACTGTTTTAAACATTTCTCAGATCACATAGTTATGTATAATAATAAAGTGTAGAAGAATCCCATGGTTAAAAAATTGAGCCCCTTTGAGTTAAGCACATAGTTCAGTCATGCTCATTTAAATACTGTATATTGAAAATCTGGACAGAAAAGTTGTTGAGCCTTTTAAAAATTATTATTTTAAGTTTTGACCAAACTTTTTGAGTCTTTTTGCATGCAAAGTCTCAACAAACATCGCCGAAAACGACAATGCCAACAGGGGTTGCCATATGTCCGGATTTCCCCAGACATTTCAGCGATTCCTGCCAGACTCAGTTTCCAACTGCTGATTGCCAGCTATGTACAGGAAATTCCAGACACATGGCAACCCTATTAAATTTGTCTGGATTATTCCTGATAAGTTTAAAAAATTACAAGCAGTGCAGAAAAGTATGTGAATGAAATTGTAGAAAATGCCCTGCAAGAGAGAAGTTTGCTGCAACTCTGGTCAGTGGTTGTTGTTTCTTTGTCTCAAGTATTAATATAATGACATGTCATTTCTACTTAATATTCTAAACAGCTTCCTAGTTTGATTGCTTTGCACAGCTAATGTATGCTTTATTAGCAAGCTATGTCGATTGTTGTTGCATGGGCTGTTTTTCTGTATTATTATTTTTTTAAATCACAATTCACATCACTTCCTTTGCAAACTAACCTATAATTTCAGTTCCAAATATGTGGTGTATTCTGTTCTTTATAATGCATGTGTTTCCCTTTTAATTATCTAAGAAAGAGGCTGGCTTTGTTTCAAACATGGGTACATTGTCATGATTTCATGTCCCAATGCTCCCATGCGTCCAGTTTGTCCATCATGTGGAATATCAGTCCTGTCTTTAAGTTTTCATGCGAAGCTGAGGACAGTAACATGAAAGGTAAGCTAGGAAATAATGGGGTTCTGTTTAGAATTAGATGAAAGACTCCCTTACTATGTAAAGGTCCAGTTCATTTCTGCCCAGTCAAACAAGCACATTGGCCATTTTGGCTTATCTACCCATGCATAGCACATCTCCACTGGGGGAAAAAGGTGGCGCATGGCTGGCTGTGGGGTTGTTGTTTTTTTCCTTTAGAAAAAATATTGACTGCTGAGATGTTGCTTACAAGCCAGTATTTCCCATGGAATGATTTACCATTCATGGTCTTCCACAATTGTTATCAAGTAAACATTGAAGTGTGAACTTTTAACTGAGACTCTGATATGGCTGTTTGTGCTTTTGTATGTAAAATGCAGCCTTGTTAAGTATGGTTTGACTCAGTTGTAAGTGCACCTTCAACATTACACGATCGGACACAGTAGTGAACAATGATGTTTCCCAGCAGGTCCTTGTGGAGGATCAATTCTGCCGTTTGCTACTTAGCTTTTTGTAACATATGTGCATATGTATGTGTGTATGATTCACATATACCGGTATGTGTAACTCTGTGCACATCGGGCCTATAGACCTGATTTCTCAACATTCTGCTTTGCGGACAGAGCACTATTGTAATTTTGAGTTCTTCCTGCAGATTGAGAAACATTGAAAGGGCAGAACTGATTCAGTACAAAATAAAAACACGTATGTATATTTTCACACATGGATTTAATGTAAATCTTGTAAATATTCAGTTTTGCTGTTTAATTCTTGACATTTCTCGCAAAAGTGCCTTGATCTTTAAGCTAGGTGTTGATGACAATTATTTACAGGTCACCCTGGCAACAAACGGCAAATCTGCAGACTTCAATGCTGTTGAAGAAGAACCTTGGAAACATGAGAAATAAGGAAGGAACAATCCAGGTCCACCTCTAATAAGCCCCAGAAGTTGTCTTGTGGTAAAAGCTGGTATCAAGATTCAAGAAGATTTTTCACTGTCTTCATTTAGTATAAAAACTATTTGCTTATTTAATGCTCTTAACGGAAACTTAGAAACAGCCTCATAAAGTCATTGCTCCTTTAGCATCTTTGCCAAATAATTCATAACCATCTCTCTCAGTTGTGTCACCACTTGAATGGATGTGGCTGAAGGACACTGTCAGTTCAAGAGATGTATTTTTGCTGGGCTTCCTCTGTTCAACTCAAGACGTAGAGAATGTAGATGCTGCAAAAGAGGAAAGATCAGAAAGCCCCGATGGCTGGTGAGACTCGGGCTAATAAGCATTAAGTATAATGTAAAGGGTGCAGTCTTTTGCAATGCCTCTTCTCCTGCTGTAGATGTCAACCAGCACCTTGGTGCATATCAAATACAGTTAGCACTGTGGACTGTAATATATGATCACTGTAAATGTTTTATATGTGCTTTATTAATACGTGGCATATGATATTCTCAGTTCCCTATTATTCATGCCATCCTCACATCGATGGTCATATCCCAGTTCTTTTAACCATCCAGAGCCCCATGCATGCCAGATCTATGTAGTCACCCAGGGGATATCATTTTCGTCATTTCCATCACCCAATACTTGAAGGTATAGGAAAATGATTTGCAGTTTATAGTGGTGGGTGGGTGTGAATGCCTGTGTGCACGGTCCCCAAAAATGAATTAACCCCTGGGCAGCATGTATACATGGCTTGACCATGATTTTTTCTCCAATTGAGTTCAATGGACTGTATTGCCAGTATATAAATTTAGGTGTGGAATATGTAGTTTTCAGAGCTAATAAACCATCCCAGATTGTATGCCATTCATACTAGCAACTAGCACAATTCTGATTATCCATACAAGGAGAAACATAGACTGCAATATGTGGCTGTCTCAATCCAGCGACGTCAAAGTACCCTATAGATGCATATCACTGGTATTTCAGCAGGAAAATCTGCAGCAAGTAATATCTTGTCACCCTTTTGCTGAGACCTGGGATGGAATAAGGTGCTATTCTTTAGGGATAAAATGTCTGCAAATAAATCACATCTTTTGCATTCATTTTGCTAAAAAGAAACTTAGCAGGTTTAATATTGTTTAACAGCTGGAAGCTATTTATACACTGGCGAAAATGTTTTATATGTTTGGTCCTTGTGAACAGAGAACTGAAACGTAAGATATGGTAACAATCTTGTCAGTTATATCTTGTTTGTACAAATGGGTTTGGGTAAAGAATATCCATTCAGAATTGTAACAGAATTCTATTTAGTAATTGTTGTGATGCCGAAACTGCAATAATTCCTTGACAACCCATCATAAAAGGACACGCTGCCACAGCAAATATCTGCAAGTTGGAGCAGGAAAGATTGAATCTCTTGTTGATAGATCATAGAATTGCAGAGTTGGAAGGGTCAGTGAGGGTCATTTAGTCCAACCATCTGCAATGCAGGAATCTTTTGCCCAACATGGTGCTAGAGCCAAAAATATTGAGATAAAGTGTCTCATTCTCTACTAACTGAGCCACTCTGAACATGTTTGCCTTCCTGCAGACATACAGGGTATTATCCTTTACCAAACAGGCATGAAGGATTTCCCATAGTTTTCAACAGAATCATGTTTCTCCCGTTTGCTCTCTCTGAATACATGAACGTAACTTCGCAGGCTGAGTCATAGGAGGACTGGCTTTGTCTCCCATTAAACCAGCCTGCGCACCCACTCTTCTTGATCACCTTGAATTCTGGAGGTCATATAATTTAACTAAGCGGCCAGAGATGAGGTGGGGTAGGTTGTGTGGGAGAGCTGTGCTCATATCTTTCATTTCCCAACTAATTTGACACACTGAAGGGAGAGAGGAGAAACAGCTCTGCTGATTCCTTGACATAAAGGCAGTGTGCTCTTCTGGGAAGGAATCTACCAGTGGATTTTTATATTCTGATATTATACTTTTCATGGAATACATACATTTTGTAGAACTGAAGGCCCTACCCCATCTTTTGTGTACATGCTCATGTTAACATCAATGAGGTACCATGGGGATTGCTTACATAGGCATTTCTATTCTTCCCCACATCACTTTATACTTGGTGGCTGTTCAGTGCACAATTAGAATGAGCAAACAAGGTACTGAGCCAGCAATGTGATTTCCAGACCCCTGTCTAGGTTAATGGTTTGAACAACACTAATAAAAAAATACCCCATTGCTTTTATTTTATTTTATAAACTAGGAAGACGTTCTCAAATTGAAACGGGGATAAATTCTGCATGTGTGCAGAGTTAAGATTTTTTGAACGGATATCAACAGAAAGAACACCTTTTACAAAACGAGGGGGGAGGGAGGGATTTTTGTATGTTTTATAACTCAGGGAATTTCAATCTTACGATACTCCTTTCCCAACAATATAAAACAGGGAGAGGGAAGCAACTATTATATTGGAGGCCTGCATATTTTATCTTCTAGATAAATGCTATTACATAATTCTGTTGTGCTAACTGGTCAACTGACTGTCCACAAGTATTTCTATTTAATTATGAAGTCTAAATATCCTTAGCTGCCATTTCATAGTTTGCTTAGCCAATATGAATCTAGGTTGCTAAACCAGGGAAAAAATAAAAATAAAAACGAACCCTGTAAGTAGTCACAACACTAACACACATTCCTTTTTTTAATAGACACTTCTTCCAACTTGCAAATGTTCTATATTTTCAACATGAATTTGCACACTATGCTTTTTCCTACTAGCCTGAGGCATGCCATCTTTCGATACTATGTTCCATTCCTCTCTTATTAGGATGCAGCTTCTACCAAGGGGCATGTAAAATCAACTGTAATCATCTCTGCAACCTAATCTCCCATCTCCAACTGTCCCTTCTGCCCAGACTTGTGATAGTAATCTATACAGAATCAGTGACAGGAAACAATTAAAAGTATTATTTGTAGGAAGTTATACAGAAGACCCTGACATTTCACCAACACTTCAAGCTCTTTCCAGCAAGAGTGTGCATAGTAAGAGCATGTGTGTGTTTTAGTGCTTTCCCTGCTTAGGCTCAAAACCTTTCCCTTTTAGTTTCAGTCATTCCTGGGCAGGTGAATGCTTAAGTAAGTAGCAGGTGAGAAACGATTTCCACTTCATTTGCTTCTCTTGACTAATTTTGCACCAGCACTTTGGATAAAATGATTTCTTTGCTCAGGTCTCGCTTGCTAGTCTGCATAATTAAGAGGACCTTGCTTTTACCTCTTTGTAGATTCTTTATCAAAGGGATCTAAGATTTCAAAATGCTGATAATCTGCCTCACATTGTCGTCAAGGGAAATGAAGGATGGTGAGCACTTTGCATTAGACCTTCTCTAGCATCCCATTTGCTTGAAAAAGGTGACCAGGTTGTAATTTTGTATTGCTCTTGGGTGGCTTGGCTTTGTTCTTTGGCTAGTACCATTTAAGGACTTCAGAAAATAATTAATGGCATAAGGTGACATCCAGCATGAGTCATACTCAGAGCAGACCTGTTGAAATTGAGTACATTGATTTGCATGGGTCTGCTTGGACTATAACTAATGGGTGGGTACACTTAGGCTCCCTTGCACCTTTGGCAAGGAGACACATCCCCCTCTTATCTTGCACCCTTGCAAGAGGATCCTGCACATGTCTCCTGGTCTCCCTGAGCAGGGAAGAAGCAGCCTGGGGAGTGTGTGGACCGGCAAGTGGGCTCCTACTTAACCTGACCAACCCCTAGATACACCCCTGGGTGGGTATCTTCCTTAGATTTCAAGGACAGCAGGCTGAGGTTTGGTCTTTGCTGGTGGCAATTCCATTGATGTTCTGCCTTCAGTGGATTTCCATAGGACATAATCAGTAATTCATACTTGTATAAGTAAATCTCTTGAGTGTGGGGAAGGATCCAAACTCTTGTGCCCTATTCCTATTTACTTTAACCCTCCTCTACATAAGAAGCTGGAGTTTCTCCTTTTCTTCTCATAGCTCCTTGGCTCTCCTCCCCTCTCATTTGTATCTCCTCTAATCTTTTCTTCTACCAAATGTCTCACCTGTACTTCTCTAGTTTCTCAAAACAAAAAAACAAACAAAAAAGCCCCTCTCTCTTCCTGCCCAGACATGACCCTGGGCCTGGAGCTCCTTCTATCTTTCTCTTGTTCATCATTGTGATACCTGTTATCTCGCAGCTACTAACATTTTTTCAAGCAGCCACTCTAGCCATGTTACTCCATCTCTAATGCACTTCTTTTCTCTACATGGAGAGAGAACTTTATGATGCCTGAACATCAGTGGGCTGGGCAGAGGTTCATTGAGATACATGGGATAGGTAAGGAAGAAGAGGGAGCTGGTCCTCCATATGTAATGGAGGTATGAAGCAATGAAACAGAATGATGACAGTCCTCCAGTGTTACTGGTCAACATTTGTCACAATTAAGCGTATTGTTTTCCATTTATTGTCCACACAACTTCAGTGGGGTAGCATTTTATGTCACTATTTGGGTTAAAATGGCTTGAGTTCGGCATAATGCATGTGTAGTTATCTAGTCACCAGTATTACATTCATTCTGATTATGTGACTAAGCCAAGTTCTTAAGCAGACCAAGCTTTGTGTTGCTGCAAGTTTGCCTACTATGCACTGAATGGCATCACACACTTGCTTGGATGTTTGGTTATAACACAAGTCAACCTACCTACATTTCAGCTGACTGAAAGCAGCCTCTAAGCCACCCAACACTCTCTCAGTTGTCTTGGAACAGCCTTAACCAGCGGATAAAGAGAATTCATTATCCAACCCAGTCTTTGTTGGGTTTATTACGGTATTTCTTAAAAGGCAGAAAGCAAATATGTGCACATAGGACCTCTACATATTCAGGGATCCCCATTCCATTAACTGGAGGGATCTGATTTATTCCTTCAAATCTGATCTATTGCTGGAACAAGAAGATTATTTGAAATTAAGTTCCTTTTCAATCAGTGGCACACACATCCCTCAACTATTGTCTTTAAAACCAGGGTTTGTGCACATTTATTCAAGACAAGGACACAATTTAATACTGTGAGTCTTTCACATTAACAGTATTTTGTACATAGCACATAATGCTTCACAGGGATTTTTTTCATTGATTTTTCTACAGCTTTGGAAGCTTATTTGCAAATCTTGATTACCAGTTGATATTTTTCAGTCAGTGCTGTAGATTCCAACATTCCATTTTTTAACTTCTTCCAAGCTTCTTCTTCAAGCTTCCTTTTGAATACTGCAACAACAAAAATCCCCTTCTTTCCTGTCCTTCCTAGTGTGAACTGTAATTTATGGAATGCATGAGGAAAATATGTATTTCTACTTCTAAATACATCTTCAATTCTAATGTAGGCATTTATTCATACCTTTTGTCCAGCAGCCACAAACTACAGTGTAGACTGAATTAACAAATTTAGTATCTGTAATTTGCAGACATACTGATATTTTCTTATACTGTTTACAGACATACCAATATTTTGTTATACAACCTTATAAGACAGAGAGAGAAAGCTACAATATTTACAGGGAATCCATATTAAAGGGGAAATGGAAAATTTTCTTATAACATATATAGATTCATAAAAATTATCTGTGTTATATTAAATTAACGTAACCCTGTAAACTTTATTTATAACCTCTAAGCAAAGCACAAATAGGAAATAAAGGTGTCTTTAAATGCTGCAGTTCATTATGGAACACTATGTTGTTATAATAATCTTAAGATTGATCAGATGAACAAATGATTGATCTGTTATTTTTGATACTTACAGTGTAATCCTATGCATGTTTACTCGGACAAAAGACCCACTGTGTTAAACAGTGCTTACTCCCTAGTAAGTGTGTTTAGAATCACAGCCTTAACCTGGTGTCTTTACCAGGAGAATTAGGAAGGGTCTCCACCCTGCAATATACAAAGAGTCTGATCCAGAATAATTTATTCACCAGTATATTTTGTCCCCCAACCCTTCTCCTTACTGCATTTTCCTGTAGTCCCCAAAGTTTCCAATGGAATCGATTACAAAGTCTGTGTACTTTAGGATTGCAGCTTCTGAAGAAGGCCCTGATCCAGCTGTAGTCATGGGCCATCAGGCATAAGAACTGGTGTCCCGTAATTGGCATCAAGTGATGCATCCAGCTAGTTCAAAGTGGCTTGGGTGAGAATCATAACGTGGAAGGAGATGAGCATCTGTATTTATTTATGTGCACAGACGATATTTGCTGGATTGGCCAGAAGCCTTCAGAGACCAGGCCTGCAGTTCCTCCACAGTCTTTTCTAGACTGGCTAAAGTAACTGGCTTTGCCAGTTCACTTCAAAGCCAGATCACAAGTTTTGCTGTTCGACAAATACTGTACAAGAAAGGAGGCGGCAGCAAAGCCGATAAGGGGTCATAGTTATTTAATGAATAACAGCCCAAACTTAGCCATGTGTACTCGGAAGTGAGTCCTGTTGAATTCAAGGGGGGTTATTCCCGGGTATGTGGGTTTTATGCAGGGGGAAGGGAACAGAAGACAGGCAAATGGCCACATTCAATGGCCTGCTGAGCTCTTGCTGGTGTAGTCAGAAGTGAGGTTGGAATGGATCTTTTGTTTTTCCTTGTCTTCTTCCTGACCAAGAATTTATTTTAGGCTAGGACACAAAGGTTTCCACAGGGAGAGTATCAACGAAGCTGGATCTTCCTCTGGAGGGCAGAGCTTTGCCCTTATAGTGTGAAATTGAATCGGTTTTATGGCCATGGAACACCTCAGTGATCATAGGGTTGCAGGGTCTGTCACGTAAAATGATATTTATACAAGTTCAGACAATGTAAGGAACTGCAGAACTGTGTTTCATGTCTTTGCCTTTGTACAAAAGGACCAAACAACATTCTTATGGGACCATGTCAATCGACTTGCACATATAGAAATACCTCCTGATTTTTAAGACATTTATAAGAAAGCAAGCGGTATATTTTTCACCAGGATGAATGAGATCTGTTTTTCTTTTATTTCCTTAGCAGTTAATTATAAAGTATCTCTAGTCCTATGGCCTTGCTATTACCCAAGCACATTGAATGAGCAAATAAGAGTTATTAAAACCTGAGGAACAGCTTAAATACAATGTAGATGTTGTCTCTTGGCACACCAACTGCACAGCACACAGAGCAGAGGATATGTACTGAAACCATCAACGATCCATGAAACAGGTATATTTAACTAGAGAAACCTGTTGTACATGCCTTGCGTTTGGGTGAGCAAACTGTACAGTAGATCTAGAATGTTGTCAATGTAAACTTATTTTGTAATCCTCTTCTATTTTAAAAGCAGAGTTTTCAAATACTCTCGTAATTAGAGCCAAATGTGTTCTAGTGGTAAGATAAAAGTACTAATGATAGCTGTCAAAGCATGACACTCTTATGAATACCAGTCTTGGTGCGTTGTTTTCCGCATGAAGAACAGTGCCTCTCCGCACTTTGTGTAGATAATGTAGCTTATCTTTGTGTAATTTCAGTGAAATTGTGTATACAGTATTAATAGTTGCCATTTGGTTTTTAATTTAACATCAGTTATGCTGGAGTAGAAACTTTATAATATGTTCCGAAAAGAATTTGGGTTGGGTTGGCTGCTTGTCAGTATTTCCATCCCCAGGTATTTATCAGAATAATCTCCATAGGCAGATAACTGGTTTTATATGTTGATAATATAAACATGTTGGTGCATGTCAAAGTCTGAATAATTGTTGGAACCTTTTATTGCAGCCGATTCATTGTACATATGTTAGTCTTTGTTTTTATATATCTAACCAGCAGCATGCGAGTGTGTGTGTATGTTTGTAAATCCCTGGCACTTAGTGAATGTGACTGGCCGTCTCATTTTGCTGCACTGTGAATGCAATATCACTGCTACATTAAAGAATTAATGTAGGCATATTATTCTGAGTTTATAATATTAATATATTTTCGTCTGTATACCTGATATGTTGGAAATGTAGAGACATGATTATTAGTAAGTCGCTGCATCAGTTAGCTCATTGGTCAGAAGTAAAAACAAACCTTGCTGTACTCTTTACTTTGGATGCCATGCTTATCGTTTGCAATTGCAATGTCTGTTTCTGCATTGCAACATGGACTCCTGCTGTCATCCAACAACATTTCAAGATTCCTCTGATGTTCATTTGCTTTCACTTGTTCACTGACAACAGTATCCACTGAAGAATCTGCATAACCTGAGCCTGTCATTTTGCTTTAAATCAAGGCACAGACATGCCTGTTAATAGACACTGGACTGTTTCCAGCTAAGTTTACTCAGAATAGACACACTGAAATTAATGGACCCAAATTGGCCAAATCCATTAATTTCAATGGATCTACTCTGGGTTTATCTAATGCTGGATGCAAGCCTATCATTATCATTCTTAAGATTTGTGTTACACCAGCTAGCCAGAAGCACAGAGGCAAATACTGCTTCCATTTTTCAAAAGTAAGCATATGAAAAATTATAACAAATCCCATTCATGTCAGTTTTGGAAACAGACAAACAACTGTGTTTTTGAGGTGTGCTTTACCTGTTGTGTTTATGTGCAGTTGTATCTCAGAATTTCCATGCACCAGTAATCATACTTTTTATATATTAAGAATTTGAATGTCTCTGATAATAAAGAAGCTCTCTGAAAAAGAGCTACTAGTGGAAAGGCTGGCAGGATTCACTGTTGCTTTCACTCAATAAATGTAGCACCTTTACTGTGGCATATTCCATGGGATAAAATATCCCATATGGAAGCTAGTTGTCATCTGCCTTAAAAGTACTCTATAACTATTCCTTTTTTCGATTCTGGCTTACCTATTGTGAATTGCCTTTAGCAATTGCTGAAGTGGCAAATCACTCTGAGCCTGATGACCGCAAGTGTGTGAGACAACAAAAGGGGAAAGCCACAAAATCTCAAGATCTGTGCATGTGTTCTTTTTCATATGCAACTATGGGCGAAATCCTATACACATTCATGTGGGGGTAAGTTACATTAAACTCAATGGAACTTACTTCCGAGTAGATATGTATAGGACTGTGCTGTTTAGGGAAATTATTGCGCTCAGGGCCTTTGAGATCATGGCCATTGTGTATATCATCAATTTGCAGTTCTTCCCTTGAAATGTGATGTGATCCATTTAGAATACATCCAAAAGAAACCATAAGCCTGGTCTTTGACATTGATTGGAAGTGTTCATCTGGGAATCGAAATGATGTACTTGTACAGTTCCTGTACCACATTTTGTGTAAAGACTAATGAATGCAGATGCGAAAACTTTCTATTAACTCTGGTTACTTTCTTGTATATTGTAATGGGAATGCCTCATTTACTGAGTATATTTTTTTTTGTAGTTTATAGTTCTAATTCTCCTAATCTTTATCTATACCTCCTTTAGTAACTACAGTATTTGCTTTTAATACTTTCTTACTGTGTGAACTGATTTCTGTAACTTATGTATAAAACAAAACTGGACATTCTTTATATACTGGAAATAATCAGCGAAGACAATATTTCACTAAGTGTTGTACTTTTTATGTACATATCATCAATAAATGTGGATTCATAATTTTAACGGTTAGAGCGAGTGTCAATTATTACATATCAACTCTGAAAAGAATGTTATGTGTTTGTGCAAAGTATTTTATTCCCCAACACTATTTCTACTTAGTATATGTAAATCTCTATTTTAAGTTACTTATACATGGGGAGTTTTTTTGAGTATGACTCAGCTAAGGAAGTCTGTTCTTTTCTGGCAAAGAGGTCTGAAACCATACGTCTGACACAACCAAGCTTGCCTTGTTACTTAAATTTTGTGGTTTCGATATACCAAAGTTGATCAGAGAATAAATAATCTAAAATCAAAGGTTTCCAGTTGTCCCAGTGCAACGTGCTTTCTAGGCCAACGCTGTCCATGCACCGCAGGCTGTTACATCAAAGCAGGTGAACCAATGGCAGCTGAAGGACATTGCACTTGGGTAGCAGACTTGTCTCTTAAGCAGCTAATTATGTCCAACACAGAAACAGAAAACCAATTTTTAAACTCCTAAGCAGTGATGCTTCAGTCAGGGAGTTGGTGAACAAAAAGGGGCTGGAAAACTACTTTTATTGTTTTATTCATGTCAGGACCAGGGATATTGGGTGTTTTTGTTTAAAGGAAATATCATCTGGCTTCAACTTAGAAAACAATGGAGATCGTTTCTGTAGAAGAAAACTGCCAAGCGTCAGTAAGTGTTTATAACTTTTGGAGACCACTAGTGTCCCTTGATACAAATGGGGGGGGGGAGAGAGAGCAATGAAATAAATAAGCCACAGCTGTTTGAACATGCTGGCTAGAAGAAAATCCTCTGCCAGTGACTAAAGGACATCTAAAAGACGTCTGCTGACACCACTTGGAAAGGGAGTGAATGAATGACATTCTAATTGTTCCCACATGACACTAAAACAGTAAAAATGGTTCTCTCCACTTGGAAAGAATCCACAGGAGTGGGGGCTTTTAAAAGGTGGGTTCAAAAAGAGGGTATGCTGCTAAGAATCCATAGCATTTCTGACTGTAAAGAAAACTAGGATTTTGCAGTGGCAATGGTGAATAAAATAAGAAACAATTCGTAGTGTTATTATCTGACAAGATGCAAACATGTTTAAACAGCCAGAGCAGGGTGGAGGGCTGATGTTCGTCTACACAGTGTAGTGTGATCCAGATTAACAATGTGGTACAGATGTCAATGCTTACCCTGAGCTGTAGCATTGATGCATGGAACACTCCTTCCACAAACAGGCCTACATTTCTGCATTGGTATGATAATGTGCATGGTGTTAATTAGGAAGTAATTAGGAGTTTTTAGTTTTTTAAAAAAAATATGTCTCTTAAGAAAATTGGACATAAGAAGAACAAGGAACTGTGGTGATATATTTGCAACTATTTACTGTTATTCAGCTTCATAATATTTGTGTTTGATTTTCTCAGAGATTTTTATGTTAGTTTCTTCTTAGTCCTACAGGTGAGTTGTATTTCTCATAGCATTTGTCATGTGTAACCAACAGGCCATTTATAGCTTTCTACTGGAAAGGAAGCGATCATTTGCTATTCATCTCTGTGGCATATGGAGACTGCTGTGGTTATTTTTATGTGCCCGGTGCAATCAAATGAAGTGTCTGAAGGAAAGGTTAAAACCCTCTCCAACATCATGTGCAAATGATTCAGGTAATATGAGACGAATGGACTGTGTACATGCTAGTTTCCTAAGAAGGAACATATTCTCAGCAGAGTGCAACCACCACCATAGTGCTGCTATGCACAAAAGCAACTTATTGCCCACACACGGCCTGCTAGGATGGGAAATGTGTATGCAAATGAATGCTGTACATGTGTGGTTCTTGGACCTCTGAATGGTTCTTGGAGCTACCAGTAGCAGACAGTGTGTTGCAGCAATGGCACTCACCTGACCTTTGATCAGCCACATTGCTGCTGCTTTCAGGAAAGGAGAGTTAAGTGTGGTGCAAATGTACCAACAGAGCCAATCTGGCACCTCTGCTAGTGTGTCTGCACTGCACCAGCCTCCCCTTCTTCCTAGTAAGCAGCTGTGATACAACTTATGAGTGCCATCACCCCACCCAACCATCTAACTAGGAGTTAAATGTGCTGTTTCTGACATTAGGCTGGCAGCCATGCATGGAACTCCAAAATGGAAAGAGTTATTTGAAGTAGACACAACACCCAGACATATAGGGTTTCGATTCAGACCCCCAATGCACTGGAAACATACAAAGGATCCCATAGAAAATCTACTGTTGTACATCCATTACATCTAAATGTGGTGTAGTCAAATGGAGCTGAATTAATACTTTTAACAAATATTCCAACTATGAACCATGCAATAGATATGCAACTTTGAAATGCAAAAACAACACCACAGATTATTTAGATTATAGAGAATAAAAATTTATTTGCTATAAAATCAATTTTATTCTTACTCGCCTTTCCACCCTATTAAAAATTGTTACTGGACATTCCTGGAATTTTTGGATAAATTTGTCTTTCTGTATTCAATTACTTCAGCACACAATTCCAAATATCTATCAAGTGAGTGAGATTCAAAAAGATGACAAATCCTTCAGGGCTAAGTGACAAATAAGAATTCTGTTCTGAAGTCTCCCATTGCAATTAATATTGACGTTCTAGGCCTCAAGATTAATGCCTTAAAGGCACTGGCTAGAGATCCTGGTGACTCCATTACAATATAATGAGGGGAAAGCTGCACAAGTTAGGGGAAATAAGTTGAAGTTGGTATTCTGCCTTATCAAACAGTAGACCACAATTGGGAGACGGGTGATGTTGGTGGTCGCCCATCTGAACTGGGCAAAATTAAGCAATCTTGAGCAGAGGAAACACGACATTTTTATCTTGTACCTGACCATTAAAAATAGAGAAAGAAGAAAATGTATGCTTAATTATGCTTCAAAGACATCAGTAGCTCATTGCATTTGTGAGTTCTAGTCCCAGTTCCGTGCATTGTTTTTTTGCTTCTTCACCTCTGATGAAATTGGATTGGCGCAGCTCTCTTACACGCCACTCTTCAAGGCCACTTCTTGTTGGTTCTGCGTTTCATCAATTGCCTGGAATTCATCTGTTTGGTTTTCTGGCTTCTCATCATGCACCAAATGAACCATTTCCCGAGATCTACTGGCTTCTCCATTCAATCCACCCTTGTTTTTCTCATTTATGCCTCCTTTGCCATTGTTGATAATAAGTTTTTGCTTCTGCCCACATCTAATGGAAAGGAAAAAAACATGGGATGTCAAAGCACACAATCACATTAAAAAGTGAAGTAAAACTCACCGATTCTATCTGGGTTAATCAAAGCTTTAAAACATAAGAAAAGTCCAACATGCTGCCCTCACTTTGGCCAACAAGATGCCTATGGGAAACCTGCAAGTATGCATGTAGTATTTAATCTCGTGATATTTGAAGAAAAACTATGTTTTCAGTTAGGATGCCATTTTGATTTATAGCTTCCAGACTGAACCATTTTAAAGGAAATGTTATCTGCATTTGATCATGGTTGGTCTGTGCTTGTCTGCTTCTTTCAAGACAAAGGAAGAAAACAGCAGCTACGAAAGGTCAGAGACTATCATTAATTAGTAAACGTTTATGTCCACACTTAGATCCATGCATCAACTTACAAACTAGCAGGAAATACTTCTGAAAAGTACCTTCTGTGTGGTAGATAAGATAAAAACAACAACAATGAAGTAACGTGACTTTGATAGGACTGGAATGCAGATTGCAGCCAAGGTAGTAATTCTCAGTCCACAGTCAGTGGAGAGCTGTCCGCTCATGACTCAAAATGGGTTAACAGTATAGGATCATCTACAGTTACAGGCAGGTGGGTGCTTTGCTGCGTGGCAAAGAAGCCCACAAAAGTTACAAGCCTGCAATTTTTACTATTGTGCTGAGAGCTGGAAGGAGGAGGACAAGGAGCTCCATCTCTCCTCTAACCTACTGCATTTCTATGCTGGGCCCAGAAGACAGGGCTTCCTTGCTTTGGCAGCCTACTTGATTTCTATGCTGGTTGCATAGGACGAAAGGAGAGCTCCATCCCTCCTGTGCCTGCCTGCTCTCACAGTGGCCACCTAGATGCCTATGGGATGCCCACATGCAGGACTGAGCATCCTTTAGGAAAATACTTGTATAGTGCAATTTCATGTCAAAGGGGAAAAAACCATTAAAAATACATAGTTGACAACCTCTCTCTCCCTCTCATCTATCTATCCATCCACACACCCACTATAAAAACAAGAAAAAATTAAACTTACTGATTACCAGCTAACTATTACAGTTGCAAGGTTAAAAGATATTCAGAAGCATAAAGAAGTTCCTTCATTGCTTACTTATTTAAATATTTACCAGCCACACTTTTGTATAAATGCACTATTGTGTGCCTTGACGTGTGCTTTTCAATGGACATCTCTTGAAAGAAGGAGCTGCTTTCTCCTTTGTATTATTTAAAGATGTCAGATCTTGGATCTTGGAATTTCCCAGCAACAAGACTAAAAGAAAGTTCTGGCACCAACCAGTGGAAATTTACAAAAGCCATTCCTTACCTCCTTCGACTGTTCACAGCAATGCAAACACCAAGTATCAATGCCAGTGCCAAGAGAGAAGCAACTACAATAAGCCAATCTGTGGGTGGAAGTTCGAGGGAGGGGAAAAAACATGGAAACTTTTACTGGCTAGTCATCTGGATAGAGAGTTGACACAGTAGTTGACATAGTATCATTAATAACCCCACTTTATTTCCTTAAAGGACCCATGCTTATTGTTTTCTTTCAATGTATGAAGCAACAGAGTGAGGTTTCCTCTCAGGTCTGGCTCACAAATATTCTTTCCTCCCCTGCATGCCCATATAAATGGCAAAAATAACTGTATGGAGACTCTTTTGTGAGAAGTGGGAAGCATACAGAAACCTGATCTTAACAGCTGGTACACAGCACTGCTGTGACTAAGAAAATGGCTGCTGGTTGTTTCCAGGTTCTTCCTTCGTTATGCTAAGATTTCTCCACAAGGCTGTGTATCCACATACAAGGCTGCATGAAGGAAATACTTGCAAGGAACTAGCATGGTGCTGCAATGTTATTTTTAAAGGTGGGTTCAGCCAGGTGCCTGCCCCCGCCCCTGGACTCTCCATCTCTGACCTAGATAGGATGAGCTAGCAAACAACGATGGTGCTGAAAAGAAACAGTAGTAGCTGCTGCCTCCTGCTTCCTCACAGGCTCTGTCTGGCAGTGGCAACTAGCAACAATGACACTGAGGGAGACCAGTGAGAGCGACTTGCCCCCGGGCTCCCCAAGAACCGATAACTAAGTTCCTGAGACTTTCCCTCCTGTTTCCTGCTACACTGACCTTGCAAATACATGACAAAAATGAAGCCACTTTATAATGAATCTGGTGGCCTATGTAACCAAGTGTTTTCCTTGTCTGCCTGGCAGAAGATCCTGAAAGGTAAGGTGACGGTCTTGCCTAGACTGAACCTTTAACTTAATTTCTCAGTGATTTAACCTAAGAAGTTCTACATGCAAAGCATCTAGAGCTGTGGTTCCCAAAGTGGGGCACACGCCCCACACGGGGGCAATTTGAGAAGGAGTTATTAACAGTGAATGGCCTTTTAAGCTTCCTCCACGTGAATAGGAGTTCACTTCTTAAATAATAAGAATTTTATGTCACCGGGGTGGGGTGGGGAATCAGGATTTTAGAGATGCTGAGGTGGGGCATGGCCATAAAAAGATTGGGAACCACTGACCTAGAGGCTCACCACTTCCAGTGGCGGCAGTGAGAGGAGCAATCACAAACCAATAGGACTTTATAATAAACATAAATGGTAAAAGTAAAGACACCAACCTGGTATGATAGCCATTCGTGGCTCGCTTTTTGGCGATTCCCCTGTCTGGTCAATGTGTGTCCCTCTTCCGGACCCCTTCGGGTCATTTGGGTTATCACCTAGATAAAAAACAAACAAACATGCATTACTCACAAAACATTAGAGCTGTGTTATATAAATCTGGAGCCCTTGAGTTTTCACAGACAAAAAAAATACACATGATATTGTCAAAGGAAACACAGGTGCGTTGAGTTTCATAACAAGGCCCTATTCCTTGACACGGGAATGGTAAAGTACAAGGATACAGCAGTGCTTAAGCTCCATATAAACCATAGTTTCCTCAGAGCTTTCATTTGGGTTTCTCCCCATCACACCTTGTTTGCCAACCATTTCAAAAAGCCTTCTTTTGTAAAATACTGGCAGGCTATGCTAAGGAAAGGGAAAAGGGGGATCCATTACTCTATGAAAATTAAAATCAGTTTTCCAAACCATGATAAAATGCTTTCTTCTTTTAAATTTCCAGCTAGTTTATATTTATTGTATTCTTTAGCCCTGTATTTTGAGTTCTTCTGTGAAGTGTATCCCTGTAGCAATCAGGGTGAAACTGCCTTTCCATAACACCACATACACTTATCAAATGCATGCAAGCACCGCAGACGTTAGCTAATATTGCTATGTGTAATTGTTTGTAGTGATACTTATAGAAATATGTATTAATCTGTTACTAATTTGAAAATAGTTCCCATAAGTGAGAAAAGGGAGAAAAATCAACTAATCTCCAAAACTGGAGAGACAGAAAGATTGTTGAGAAACGATCACACACCTTCCTTCGACTAGTGCAAACGCATTCATTAAAATCAGAGTTTGATCATGCATCTTTGCAAGAAGCCATGAAATAAACAGAATGCAATCACAGGGAGATTTCCATCTAAAAGCTATTTGTTTCCACACCACATTTCCCCAGGATTTTGATGTATGGAAAAGTAAAGGTTAGCTGAAGTTCCTGGAATTTATAACTCTTACTGGCAGTAGGCGATGATGGGTGTCTGTCAGAACCACTGTCAATTTCAGGAAAAACTCCAGGTAATACATAATCTTGAGTGCCATTTACAAGAGGCTCATCTTCAGTGCTCCATTCAGGACGCAATCCATGTAACTGTGGATCTTGTGTTGATTCTTCAGTTTTGGTTCCATCCTTTGAGACTACTGCTGTTGTAATGATGGTTGAATTAACTATTAACTATCAATTAACCTTGAAATTTGCAGAATTAAAACCGGTTTGGTTTTTTTTGTTTTACAAAATTCCTACTATACTGAAAGTTTAAAAAGAACAAAATAGGGAAGGTTGCAATGTTTCTGATCTGCTCATGAAACCTTCCAGTAGTAATGGACAGAGGCTCAAGTGCCAGAAGCAGCTCAGATCAAGGTAACATTGGATCCAAGGACCATTTGGCAAAAGATGCCACATTAGAGTGTGCATACACATGGAAATATTGTCTAATAATTAAATTCATGCATGGCTCCTGCTAACAAGCCCATTAACCCACACCACGCTTGGGAAGTAAGGTGTTCTCATTTCCTTCCCTTTTTCAAAACTTAAACAAACCCACTGGCTCAAATTCAGTCCGATTTTTATCTCTACAGAGATAAATATTCAAGAAATGTAAAGCACACCAGCAGTTTGGAAAGCCCAAGAATATGCCAGGAACAACAAAGTGAAACGAATAATCAATATATCAGTTCTTCCTACAGATATTAAGAGATGCTCTAATTGTCTACCTAAAAAGAAACACTAGCCACTGAAACTAGGAAGGAAACGAGTCTCTAAAGTACACCAAAAACTTCAACACACTGCCATGTTTAAGCAAGGATCCTGCAAAACCTTACATCTTGGCATTAATACTGACATAAAGACAGTATTTAAAGACATCACTAGGCTCTCAAGTAGGAGATGTAACAGCAGACAGCATAATAGATACATTTTGTGAAGGATCATTAGCTTCACATGATAGCAAAATGACATAATTGAAACAATAAATGCAAATATTTGCAGAACGGAATAGAGAAATCATGACCTAAATTGTTTTAGAAAATTATTCCCCTGTACATATCATACTCTCCCGCCCCCCCCCGCCCCCGCAAAAAAAATAACATATGTTTGGGAAACAGTCAATTTGATCACAACTCAAAATGCAATACTCCTTCAACAAATTTACATTGTGTAAACCTGGAGTGCCTGGCAAACAGACAAGTACTTCTCACAATCTTGGTGGCTATCAAAATGGTCATGGCTATCACAATCACATGTGCTCCCTTAGCCACAATTAAAGAATATTAAGCAAGGAATTTTGACAGGGAAATTTCAAAACTGAAGTTCAAAGATATGGAAATGTCATTAGGCTGCAACTGCTTACAAATGATTTTATGACATTATTTTATGAGGTGATCTCCACATGGTACAGTCCCCAAGTAGCAACTTCAACACATTCGTTTTACCAATAAGGTCCTGGCCAAGGTAACAATTTAGTTTCTGTTCCTCGACCTTATATAAGTTCAGGTTACATGCAATTTAATTTTCGGTGTCTGTTTTAAAATAGACATGAAAATTAACAACATGAGATTATCTCACCTAAGATAGACAGGGTTAAAAGGAATCCCACCACCATCCTACTGAATACCTGTATGATCAGTATTATTTTTTTGACTTATTCCTCTTCGAGGAACAATTCCAGGAACTAAGACATCTGCTGTTGATTTCGTCGTGTATTTGTCTTCATGACCCCATTGCCTCACTGGTTCTGGGGTTGAATCTTCTTTGGCCACATCTATGGCAATGGTAAATGAATTGAGATTGTAAAAATAGCAAAACTGTTAGCTGCTTTTCACTCTGATCCACTGACTTCTTAATCTACCAGCAGAATATTTCTATCCAAACAACATGCAGGGATGCCAGATTTGCTACAATTCAGAAATTCCAAAAGACTTTGACAGTGATCTGGCTTCCCCCTTGGTTTTATTTTCTGACCCAACATCTGACATCACCAGCTGACACTGACAGTTGATTAGGCATGCAGAAAATTTCATCAACTTGACAATGACATTTGTGTTATATACTTTTGATGGAAGAGAAAACTATTCATGAGCTACAGCCAAGTACTTGTCAGTTGTGGATGAGAGACCACGTTCTTCAACCTTCTGCTCTCTACTCACCACTCCCTTTCTCACACACTCATTTCAACTCTTCTACAGGTTTTAACTTGGGCTAATTTTATTATAAATCATGTCATAATTAAATGATCGTCACAGCAAACATCATTATTTGACTCTGGGTGATTGGCATATGCAAATAATAATCATAATGAATGAGATATAAAGAATTAAAATGTAAGACTTAGTTTCAGAACCATATTTGTATATCTTGTTTGTTTATGTTCTACATGATCAGAAATTTAAACCAAAGGACATTATGCCCTACAGACTAGCTTGAGAACAAAACAAAACATCAGCATAGAAATATCTGGTCAGGTACTATCAAGTTCTTGTGTCGTGGAATGAATGCTATTGTCTATATTGCCAGGCCTGTTTTTTCTGGAGCCAGCTATATAAACTTGATGGGAGGAACATCTCCTTTAAATGGGGTTTGCATAAAATCAACTCTTAGAACAGGAGTTGTTCCTTATTATTATTAAGAAATAGCAAGCTTGCCTCTAGTGAGAGAACTTTTAATTCTAATTTTCAGAAGGCTATGCCTCAGTACAATTTATGCCCTAATCCCTATTTTGAACAAATCACTTGTCCTTGTCATGTATCATTGCCTAAAAATATCCCCATAGGGCACCTTCAACTCTCAGAGGCTAGAGCTAACATTCAAAAGTTAAAATCAGAGAATTTCCTAGAGCATGAGACATCGATCCCAAAGAATCAGTCCCTCTCAAATTGCCCGAAAACAGCAACCTTATGTTAAAAGGAACAAATGATATTCTTACGTTAGAATTCCAACCTTACAATATAGACATTAATCAACATTTCCGTTTGGTGGAAAGGCGGGGTACAGATTTAAAGAACGACAAATGCTCTGTTTCAAAAACAGTGCTTCATTTCATACATTGTGATGAAATGAATAGATTATTCAGCGCAATACCTGTTTGTTTGCTTTCACTATCTGAATCAACTCCCATCGGTATACCATCTCTAGAAGTATTTGTGGGATATATTTCTTCAGCATCCCAGCCTGGCTGATGAATGGGAGGTAATGGTTGTTGAGTTGAGTCTTCATGATCGTTGTGTATGACAGCTGTTTGGTGAATCAATGATGAACTTAGGTTTGGACGTGTTAAAATACAAAATGATGGCTTTTGCAAGCCACTCCCTTCCCAATAACTCACTGCGCAATGTTCTCAGCTTTACTCATATTTACATGCAATTACATTTCTTGTGCACCTTACATGTTCAACTATATTTACTGACTGAAAATAAGAATCCAGTTGTGAGCAATGTGATTCCCCACACCATCACCAATCACCACATAATTAAGAATGGATCTGCCGCAACTACCTGTATGATAGAAATTATCTATGTTATTGTTTCCAGCTGGAGGAATAACTTCTATGGGTACTTCATCCTTTGTGCTGTTTGTAGAATAATCATCTTCTCTACCCGATTCATTATGTATATCATGTACCGTTGGATCACGAGTAGCAACTTCATGTTTGATATCATCACTGGAACCCACAGCTATGATAATGATGGTTGGGTTGGGTTAATGTTAAGTGTTCTGTAACATTTGCAGAACTACATCCCACATGATTTGCTTAGCAGCGCATTTAATTTTTTAAAATTAGTATTGCTAATGGATATCCATTACCACATTTTAGTGGATCTCAATGCAAATTTAGTTTCCTTACAAACCAGGACACAAAAGGAATATAATTGATTTGGAATATATCAACAGAATGAAAAAACAAAAAAAAACAAAAATGCACACTTCCTCTTTATAGTTACATGAAATGTTTTCTTTTTATTCTAACTTTCTGATAGAGGAATACTACTAAGTAGCAAGTTATCTCTAGATATTTGCAGTGTATTTTATTGTTACTTAAAAGCTTTACTGTGTGCATGAATGAAAAATGGATGTTCAAGGCTTATACCATAACTATAGGTAAAGGGACCCCTGACCATTAGGTCTAGTTGTGGCCGACTCTGGGGTTGCGGCGCTCATCTCGCTTTATCGGCCAAGGGAGCCGGCGTACAGCTTCCGGGTCATGTGGCCAGCATAACTAAGCCACTTCTGGCGAACCAGAGCAGCGCATGGAAATGCCGTTTACCTTCCCGCCAGAGTGGTACCTATTTATCTACTTGCACTTTGACATGCTTTCAAACTGCTAGGTTGGCAGGAGCAGGGACCAAGCAACGGGAGCTCACCCCATCGCGGGGATTCAAACTACCAACCTTCTGATCAGCAAGCCCTAGGCTCCGTGGTTTAACCCACAGCGCCACCTGTGTCCCACCTTAACTATAGACCACTGCTATTCCAATGATGCTGGAATCAAGTTTAAATATTATGATTGCATGGCCAGTTCTCATATCAATTATAGACCATTGTGCCCTATCATGACACGAGCATCTTCCTTGTTTTGTTTAATGTCAATGACTTTCTATACAGTGGTACTTCGGGTTACAGACTCCGCTAACCCGGAATAGTACCTCGGGTTAAGAACTTTGCCCCAGGATGAGAACAGAAATTGCGCACAAGCAGTGCAGCAGGCTCCATTAGCTAAGGTGGTACCTCAGGTTAAGAAAGGTTTCAGGTTAAGAACAGACCTCCGGAACGAATTAAGTTCGTAACCCGAGGTACCACTGTAATTGATTTCAGTAAGATTAAAATTGCAACCTGTTATCTAGCTCAATACAACAGCCTAATTCATCTAGGACGTAACAGAATATCTGAATTTTCTTCTTCTTGCTTGTACCTATATGTGAAGTTTCATTTCCATGCACGTATTCAACTGAAGAAATAATTCCAGGTACAAAATAATCTGTTGACGTGTTTGAAGGATGCCTGTGTTCATTGTTCTGGCCAGGATGTGCATCTTGAGTAGAATATTCATGGTCACTACCACCATCAGAGACCACAGCTGTCACAATATAGTTAGATCATTCATTCATTCATTCATTCATTCATTCATTACAATGCTTATGTAATCTATTACGAAATTGTTTACTGAGAGGCACATTACCTGGCCTTCTACTGCACATAGATTAAAGTTACAAGAAAGGAGATTCCAGCTAAACATTAGGAAGAACCTTCTGACAATAGGAGTAGCCTAACAGTGGAACGGACTCCCTTAGTAGGTGAGGGACTCTCCTTCACTGGAGGTTTTTAAGCAGAGATTAGATGGTCAACTGTTGTGGAAACTTTTGTTGAGATTCCTACATTGCAGGGGCTTGGACCAGATGGCCTTTGGGGGTCCCCTCCAACTCTATAATTCTATGGTTATGTATTGGGAGGCTTCTGGCTCTCTAAATAATGCATATGTTAGCCCATCAGCATCCCTAAAGGGCATGTTGATGGCAGAATTTCCTTCAAAAGATTTCAATGAAACAGATTGGTTTAACAACAACAAAATTGTATCTCTACAAGACTATTCATGTACAGTTTTGTTTTGTTTTTGTAACTTGGAGGCGTAATGCCAAGTAGCCCTTCAGCCCTAGATTTATTTGTATTTTACCTGTCCTTACTACTCCGCCACTAAATTACTCCATTCATCTGACTGATGCTAAGTCAGTGGTCACTGTCATCCCTGAAAGTCGCAGTTATGGCAATTTATTTCTGTACTTTCTGCATTTATACACCCACCTTCTAACAGTGACTCATAAAAAACACACACCTGGGTTTGAAGGCTAAGTATGGAGAGTCGTCTCCTGTAATTACTGACTCTGCTTTTAAGTGGGTTATGAATACCATTATTTTGTTGCAAATGAATGGAACTTTATTATCAACTGGCAGAGAGAATGAGAGTAGTTGGGATAGCTCTTCAAATGGAGTACGGTGACAATGCAGTACATTTGAAAAATAATACAAAGAACTGCAAATTTATTAAAGTTCTATTTCCTGGGAGGTACCTGTATGATGCGTCTCCTTTTCATGCTTTCCTTCACTTGAAAGAGTAATTATAGGTGGGATATTATCCATAGTTGTGTTTGTGGTATCTTCATCTTCACTTTCCCACCCAGGATGCATTGCATGTGGTTTTTGTGTGGTGTCTTCCTGCTTGCCATTATCACTGGAGGCAACAGCTGTTGTAATGATGGTTTGAATATTTTTCAAATGTTACATAGGTATCGTTCTTTTCATCAGTTCTTACTAAGTGCTATGTTTTGTTGAATTGAATCAATATCGTATCAGGTTTTTAAGTATAATTACTTTTAGTCTGATGGCATTTACCTACTATGATTTACAGTTCAAGTACCTTTCACCCAACACCAGAAGAATTAAAAGCCATTAGAATTCCTGTACTTGGAAGACACCCAAGGAGATGTTTCCATTTCAAGACTGCTTCAACTTGGAAGAGTTATTTCAGGCAGGAGATAATCTCAAGCAGCAAACAAATTTTGCATACTTTTTCATCACACCATGCTTCCTGTGTTTAGTGAAAGTCCATTTATTTAAATGGAGTCAGGATTACATCTTTACATAGTTTGAGATAGCTTCTAATTTATCTAAAGAGATTACTGAAAAAAGAAGTAAAATGTTTTTACTATTTTTCCAGTCAATACCTGTGTCTGAACGTTCATTTTCATGCTCACTTTCAGCTGCATGAAGAATTCCAGGCAGCAAATGATTTCCAGATGTGTTTGTGAGATGTTTTTCTTCATTATCCTGTCCAGAATGCTCACTGTGCAACATTGTATCCCGACCGGAATCTTCATAGTCAGTGCTATCACTGGAGACTACTGCTGTTACAAAGATGGCTGGGTCAGTTTTGAATTCTCTGCTTTCACATGCGCTTCACTAAGTGCAATTCTACTTAACCCTAATATGGAAAGTGGAAATCAGTAACCACAATAGCCGTTTTAGATGAGACAGAACTATAGCTCTATCCAAAACGTATTCTATGGCTATAAAATCTACACAGAAAACAGGGCCAGTATACCTGAATGAGCGTCTCCACCCCCATCGTTCTGCCCGGACACTGAGGTCCAGCGCAGAGGGCCTTCTGGCGGTTCCCTCACTGCGAGAAGCAAAGTTACAGGGAACCAGGCAGAGGGCCTTCTCGGTAGTGGCGCCTTCCCTGTGGAATGCCCTCCCACCAGATGTCAAAGAATAAACAACTATCTGACGTTTAGAAGGCATCAGAAGGCAGCCCTGTTTAGGGACGTTTTTAATGACTGATGTTTTAATGTATTTTTAATCTTTTGTTGGAAGCCGCCCAGAGTGGCTGGGGAAACACAACCAGATGGGGGGTTTATTATTATTATTATTATTTCTAATTTAGCTAAAAGATTTAATGATAATGAATCACTGCCTGTACCTGTATGTGGCATTTCCTTTTTACTCGCTTTTTATTCTGACGAATGATTCTAGGTGGCTAATTAAATTTAGATGCATTTGCAAGGTATTCATTGTCACTGTCCCAGCCAAGATCATATACAACCATCTCTGCTTCATGAATCTTTTGAAGCCTCTTGTCTGGGAAAGCAAATCTTTCTGCCATAGGACTCATTTTGCCGGACTCTGGAGTATTTATAAATACTTGTCCAGATCAAGTCAACATAGGCCTTTGGTCATCAACCTCAATGGAAGACTAAAGTAACCCAGTCTAAAAAAAGAAAAGGCAAGAATAGGTGGGTTTTTAAAAAAAACCTTTTCATGTTTTTTTCTCTCTAGCTGCAATAAATTTGCCTTCACTGCCCAAGAGGATATAAACTAGCCTACATGTGTGAATCATGAGAGGAATCTTTGTAGTTCATTCCAACAGCTGCTATAATAATGTCTGAATCTGTTTTAAAGACAACGAATGGTAGCCTGATAAAGAATAGACCCATTAAAATCAGTGGACTGGAATAACATGAATCCATTCATTTCAGTGGATCAGCTCTTGATTTAGTTAGACAATACCCTATGTTAGCAGTTTCCTCATAATTATTTGATGCCCATCTTATCTAGCTTTACAGGCACTATCAGAATTTTAGGTGAAGTCAATTAAAATATTAGGTTAAGGCTTAAGCAGTATTAATTATTAGGTTAAGACTGAACTCCATATGCATTGTCAAAGTAATAAATTCCATCTGGGGAAACAATAACCTCCAATCTAACATGTCACATTTCTCAAATTCTTTTCCCAAAGAAGTATGCATGGCTTCATCTTTAAGAGGACTTCAACCCAAGAAGACTTCAAAAACATTTCTGTTTTGCTTAGAAATTTACTGATGTGCTATGCAAGCTTGCTACTATTTTCTTGTGGATTTGGGGTTTTCTAAATTGTTTTTAAATTTATTGTTTGATCTTGAGTTTACATATTTGTCAGTCATCTTGTGGAAGTTTTGTCGTCGTTGTTTTGAAAGGTGACTATACATTTATTAAATGAATTTAAAAAGTGTAGAAAAGTTTAACAATGCCGAATTTTCTTTTTCTTCCTAGTACCCGAATGAGATATTTCCAAATCCTCTTCATGCTTGTTTACACTTGAAATGAGACCAGGCATAATTCCATTTTTAGATGTTTTTGTAGGATATCAATTTTCATTGCTCCCACCAAGATGGATCTCATTAATCTATATACCATGATTATCAGTCTTCACGGTTAATCTTACCCGTGGAGACCACAACTGCTACAATGATGACTGAATCAATACCACATTTTCACTATCAGGCCCATGTTATGTAGATTAAATAATTTTCTTAGGATGTATCAGTAGTTAAGGCTGCAATCCTGATTCATGCTGACTTCATAGGAGTCATGATTACACCCTTCGTAGGAAATAATAATGATTGGGGCTGAATAGAACTTTTCTGAGATATACCTGTATAAATGGATTCATTTTTTTGCTCATTTTCACTTGGATGAATAATTTCAGGTAGTGTCTCTTTGCTGGATGAGTTTGTGGGGTATCTTTCTTCATTGGACCATTCAGGATATATGCCATGAGATGGTGGGCCTTGAGTGGATTCTTCAACTTTCATCCCATTATCTGCTTTTGTGGTGAAGTATTTGTTAATTTAATATATGCAGAACCACTGTCTATTGTACATGCATCTTGCAGTTCAATATGAATCCAACTACACTGGTGGCATGCAAGAAAAAGGGGTGCCTTTTAGGGGTCTGTTTATCTGTCACTAAGTCAAGATTCTCTATTACACTTTTAGTATAGGCACTTTTCAATAAAAAATAACCAGTTCATATTTCAGTTAATTCATTTTAGTTAAATCCTTTGAAACAATATCTTATCTAGCCATTATTATGTACATGTGAAGCAAGCATTTTGTATTCCACAGCTATAAAATGATTTTGGTTTTAGTTAAATGGTATGAAGACAACATATTTTGTTCATTTCTTATTTGCAGACAGCTAGGTTTCTAAAAAAAGAAAAGAAATAAGCTTGCAAAGGAGTTATTTTGACTTCCTCATAGACACATGCTGTTTATGGCACAATTACCAAGTATTTGTAAAAACAAATTTGTTCTTTCAATGTTGTGATGGCAAAGCAGGCAACATAAATAAAAATTAGTAAATACTGTAGATAATTTTGGTTATCTACAGTAAATGTGGAGTATTTTCTACTTGAAGAAACGCTAAAACAACAGTAATGGGCTGCATCTACACAACAGAGGCCCAAGCAAAATAATTGTGTGTAAAGCACTCTGACACTAATATTCTTGGTGTCAGAGATTGAATTATATTGGGGAAGTGGTGTCAAGATGAAATAAAACTATTATGATATGAAGCCCTACTCAGATGATGAAATGTGACTTATCTGTTTGAATGGAATAGTGGCTCTTCTCAAAGCTACCTCTTTTGAAAACTTAGGTGCCTCTGATGCAAAAGAACATGGGTCCACCATTCTTTAACACTGACTGAGGTAGCAGGACAGAGAAATGTGCGTAGGATCCTGCAGAAGGGATGGTGCCATTTGGAAGTTGGGCCTCCATGGACTGGCGGTAATGCCATCCATTATTGGGAATGCTAACAATCCATTATTAATGGAAGGTTTTGTCAGACTGCCATGATTATCTTAGTGCCCTAGTATTGGAATACTAGGAATTCACTTTAAAGGGTAGTAAGAAGGCCTAAATATATGTGAGATGCAGGTCTGTGAATGTAGCTGCCGTGTAAGGGGCAGGTGAACTGGATCAGAACCGTGACATAGGAGGGGCTGCTGCTTTCCTCCTGTGCAATTACCACAATAAAAATTGCTTCCGTTTTTGAAGCCATGTTTCACCCCAAATGGAGAAGCATCAGACCACAGTTCTAATAAAGGGTGGACTTCTCACCGAGACATAAAGGCCTTCCTATTCGCTGACATAAAAGAGAAATAGAACTGAACATAGGAAGATTACATTAACATCCTGCAGGCAGTACCTGTCTGAGAAGATTCATTGTCATGAAGCTTCTCACTTTGAGGAATAAGTGTTTCTAGGACACCAAGGATCGTTCTGTTTGTGGCAGAACCACTTCTCCGCCCAGGTTTGCCCACTGCTGATAACTGATCTTGATGTGATTCTTCACGTTCAGCACTTTCATTGAAGGCTAGAACTATTGTAGCAATGATAAATAATGCAGGAATCAGTAACTCAATATTTTGGATTTCCGTGTGTTTAGTAGATAGTGAGAGACTCAGAAAGTTGCGTGAACTCCAATGGAAGCAGGCTTCCCCAATTGTTTCACCATAGGATGGAAACCTTATTTAGGCATGTAGAATCACCACAGAATTTAATAGGGAAGCCCATTCTGCCTGTCAGAACTCTCACCTCAACAAGGTGCCACTGTACTGAGGTGGTTATTTGAATCAGTATAGTTCAGACCTTCCATGGGGAAGAAGCTTGACTCAGTGGCAGAGAATTTGCTTTGCATGCAGAAGGGTTCAATCTCTAGCATCTCCACATAGGACTGGGAAAGACTCTGTCTGAAACCTGGCAGAGCTGCTGCTACTCAGTGTAGACTGTCCATCTTGAGCTAGATGGACCAGTGGTGTGACTCACTATAAGGCAGCTTCCTGTGTTTGAGATGGCATGCTAATCACTAGTTAGTGCAAGAAGAGGTATAATTTTATCATTTTATATATTTTTTCTTTCTGTGTGGAAATGGATAGAATGACTAATGCACAAACCAATTCGGCCAAAATGCTTGGATGAAAATTCAGTCTTCTTACAGAATCAGCTACTTCCACTGAGTTCAGTAGGCTTACATCAGCTTAAACCCAGATTCTTCAATTTGCATACTGTAGCAATAAGTCTGGCAACCAATACAACTCAAGCTGCTGCATTGCCACAACAGGGATAACACACAGATAACTTCAGAATAACCAAACAGCAAAGTGGTCTTGATTTATACCTCGGTGTTCTCACACACGGCACATCCTTAATATTCGGTCAAACCACTGGCCCATCAAGCCCAGTACAGTCTACTTTTAGATATTTATATAGGTTTACTAGCAAATGGTATAAACATAAATTTTATCGGTATTACATATCTGGGGTACTTTTGACACTGATAATAGATTGTACCTATCTATTTAAAATGTAACTAAAAATAATGGGAGAAAAATGACTGCGAAGAGCAAAACTCTCAACAATTTGGAACTCACATCTCTAATATATGGAAGAATAACTAAAGGAAACTCACAACGCCCACCAACCCCTTGACTAAAAGTTCTAATTTTAAGTATGGTTAAACACCATTTCTCCAGAAACCTGGATCAGGAAATGAAAGCAAACAATCCAAATGAAAATCTAATTCTACAGTTCACTATTGGTTCTGATACCTGTATGGTGGGAAGATTCTTCCTCCAGAGTTCTTTCTCTTCCACTTGATGGAACAAGCACAGGATGCAATACGTCTGAAGCTGTGGTTGTAGGTAATGTGTCTTCAGTTTCTAATCCAGAGAGAGCACCATCTAGTGGATTCTGAGTTGAGTCTTCCTGCTTGAAGAAATCATCACTGGAGGACCCAGCTGTTATGATGATGTTTTGAATCAGTTGCAGTGTTATGCTTGCTGAACAACCATCCAGATTGTTCACTTTATCTTGTTAAACTAGACATGGCTTGCTTTTTCAATTATGTGCATAAGCAAGAGGAGGAGGAAAGTAGATAAATTTTTTGGAAAGTATTGTTGAATTCACAGCCACCCAGTGTCATCACCTCGATTATCAGAAGTTGCTGATTTTCCAGACAGTGCCCCAGAGACCAGTAGGAATAGCGAAAAGGCGTGTAACAGTATTATAGGCAGAAAAGATGTGACAACAGCTTGCACCTTTAACTGATCTATCAAATGTCTTTTGATAGATGCCAAGGCTTTGTACAACTGAAATCACAGCACCATCTTAAGTCCATAAACTTTCTCTTTCTTGTCTTCTTTTTCTTCTTCCTTTTTCATTGAAATTGTACTTTTTGGAATATGTTTAGACATTTGTTCCAGGCACTAAGGCCAAATGCTGCAGATAGATAATGTTGGTTCACACATTCAACCTGAAAAAAATATTTTGGCTGGCATTCTGAGCCAGATGTAGTTCAACCATTTCAGCATAGCCTTATACAGTTCTAAAGGTGCTGCTGTTTAAATCCAAGGAAACTGTCTTGAGGTACCGCCACCACACCACCAGATTTTTCCTTCAGAGTCAAACCTTTTCCCAGCATTCAGCAGGAAGCATAATGTGTTGAACATTATGATGACTGCCTGAGATGAGCCCAAGAGAACATGCTTTAGATTTTGAGAAATAACACCAAGCCCACAGAAAGCCCTTTGGAATAGGCAAGCAAGGTAGACCCCATCTGCAAGAGAAAATGCTAATACATTTCCATAATAAACCAAACCAAAATTGCAATGCAAGTTGTGTATGTGTTTGTATAAATTCCATTTGTTCATCTTTCATTCCCTAATATTGCAATCGTCCTCTAATGTTGGCACATCTATGCCCTTGGGTTCAAAAGATCTCTGTTTTCATGTGTTTGAATAGCAGTTTATATAGTTCTTTCTTTAAAACAAAGTGAAGCATCACAAAATGAGCTCATGTTAGCTCCCAACTTTCTAAACAAGGAACCGATTTGAGCCAATTTTGTGAAGTCTACAAGCACTGGCTACTTGAAAAACACAGCGGCCACTTGATTTGGTATGGGCCAATCTCATCATGTTTCTATGCTGACTTTTACTGGCTGTGTGTCTGATCTATGTGTACTTTAGCACTGCCAAACTCCCTTTGTGTAGCACTGAATTGAGGCCAACGTGGTTACATATGACAGCACTTTAAAAAATACTGCTTTAAGATATGGTTAGACAGGGATGACATGTTGGTTTGGAACTTCTGCAAATTTCAGGGAACTTTGGAGTCTAAAATAAATTCAGATTTGGGATTTGTGACTCACTCTTGCTTAGCCAAAGCCAAATAACACGTGAGCCTTGGGTTTCATGGTTTTGTTAAGATTTAACAGAACACATCTGGGGGGAAATGCCTTCAAATGTGTGACTCTGCTTTCTTTTTTTAAAGTAATCACAGCATATTATCTGCAGATGTAGTAGCAGATATACTACAGATGTAGCACTGCACCATGATTCTAGTTATTAACTAACTTCTAGACTTTGATACTGTGAGAGTTGATGCTGACATGAAAGAGGTAGTGTCAAGATCATGCTTTAGTAGTCATACCAGTAGCTGTTGAATAATGTTCATCATCACCTAGAGGAACAATTCGGGGTAGCACATCCTCCCTTGTGCCATTTGTTGAATATCTGACTTCACTGTCTTTTTCAGAGTGTACACCATGCAGAAATGAATCATGGGCCGAGTCATCATGCTTGACATCTTTGGTGGAGACCACAGCTGTTGTGACAATAGTTGAATTGATATTTATTTGACTATATTCCACACTACCACCAACCAATTAACATTGGTATTATTTCTTGGGTATAACACATGGGTATAACATAAGCCATCTATATTGTACAGGTATTTTTAATGCACAGCTCACATATCCATGACGTTTCGTCTTTAGCATCAAGTGGAAACTTACATGGGTGAGAGAACCCTCTGAAATTCACCATCGCAGGCACAACAATTTGAAATCAAATGCAATACTTTACAGTGGACAGTTCACACATGTCCATTGAATGCCATCAAATACTGAATAAATAAACAACCAACCAACCATGAATCAGGCGTATGTCCTCTTTAGATTGCAAATATTCACTCTGGCTGAAAATTGTTGCAAGAGTAGTAGATCTGCAAGCAAAACCCATGATACGGGATAGAAATTTTCCCAAATGAAAATTTTTCTAGTTTATGTTTCCTAAGTGGCAATGAATGGCTGCCAATTGCTAATGTAATATTGGGAAAGTTTGGATGTTTCAAAGGTTTTGTTCTATTTACTTAAACACAAGTACAATAAATATACTAGGTTAGAAAATTTTCTGATGCAAACACTTCTGGAAAACCCACATCAATGGGCAAATGTCAGGATTATAGCCCTCAAATGTCTTGGAAAAATAGAATTTGGGAAACTTAACATTTTACTTTTGTTTTTAAATGATTTCATCAGAGTGGCAGAGACAAATCCTGCATTTATTTTAAGTTCAGGTGGGCAATCGCACAATATTGCCACTGGTTTTGTACTACTGCTGAAGAAAATTGCAATCATGACCACTGATGAGTTTCAGAGATCTTTACAAAAATCCAAACTCAACCCTTCTGTTACCATCAAGTGCTATGCATACTAACCTTTCCACTTATAACCAAAGGTTGTCATTAAAACAAAAACTGGGATTGGTTCTGTGCTTTGAACAGCAACTTGATACAGAAAAGTAAGGGTACTTCTACACTGTCGTCACTCCTGGGTGCTGCTCAGCCATGTACCAGCAAACTCAGGTTATACAATTAAAGAAGGTTTGGCACTCTTGTGCAACAAATCTGCTTCTACTAAAAATTAGTCTTAAATGCAATGGAAAGTGTGTAAAGTGTGGGATAACAATGGCTTTATTAAATAAAAATAGTAAGTAAGTAAGTAAGCAAGCAACCAAGCAAGTAAGTAAGTAAGGCTGTTGCTAAAGGCACAAAAATATATGTCTCCAACTACTGTATAAAATTATGTTGGAAAACAGTAAAATAAAGTTTTGATCCGCAGATTTTTTTCTTTGAAATGCACTCTTTGACTTACGATTTGCTTTGCTTCACTATGGAAGAACTATAGCAAAATGCATGATTCATGCAATACAATGAGACCCACTACACTTCTGATAGATACAAATGACTACAAGCCGCTAGACTGATTTCACTAAATTGCATTTTCCACAATTAGAGAAAGAATAAACCAGGAAGATATGCACAACATATGTTAGTTTAACATATAACTTGATGCTTGTTGCTAAACCCAAAGAATAGCTTTTACCACCACCACAAAACAACCACCATCTCACCATAGCAAAATAAATTTGACCTCATAGACCAAATAACATGAATGATAAAAGTCAGAGCCTAGAGATTAAGTGTACTGATAGGAATGGTACTTTTCCAAATACAACTGAAGGCACCAGCACACTTTGCAATGTCTCCATCATAGACATAATCCAATGCAAAAGAAACCAAAGTAGTTTAAGGATGTTTACCAAGGAAAGCGTTGTTTCATAATATGCATTCCTAGGACAAATGCCTAACAGATACCAGTGCGAAGAGGTAAGGAAAGTCAGAGATAAATGAAGCTCAAGCATAAAACACAAAATGAGACTTTTGTTTTATAAGTATGCACCCGAGTTTCCATTTCCAGACTAAGCCAATAGGATTGTACCATTATCATATGCAAACACGAAGTCCTGCTCCCAGTTTAGGATATGCATAGAAATAATGGCAGAGTAAAATAATTCATGGTACTCAATTAAACCTTCTTTGCTTTGTGTTGTCTATTATTAAGCAGTAATCTTGCATTATATCCAGAATTGCATTATAAATTAATTTTGGATTCAATGTTGTGGTATTTCTGAATTATGTATGGCGCAAACTATTCCTTACATCCAAATCCCATGGTTTACTGAGACACATCTAATGACTTTCATTATAGTGCAGTGCATTCATTACAGGAATTAATGCTTACTGGTTTTTGATGGCCGAGGTTCGTTATCACCACTGCTGTTCCATTCAAGAACGGTTTCAGGATTTAAGTGCCCAGACCCTTCTCCATAATGATCATCATCGCCACCATCATCATCATCGCCACCATCATCATCATCAAAAACATCACGATGTTCTTCAGAACTCTTATCTAGTGATTTGATTATGTAAACCTACGATAAGCCTTTAATATCATTATCCATTTCCCAATCACCAAAGTAAGTATCTTTCTTATTTGTGGTAGTGTTTTCAGAGCTCCTCGTTAGAGATGAATAATGAGTAAGAGATCTATGTGTAATAGATTTATTGGGTGGAAATAAACCAAACAGTGGTGGTGGTGCAACAATGTACAATGGGCATTAAATCAATAAGAGTGTCTGTGATCCAGTGCATGGCAAGAAGATGGTTGAGTTGGTTACAGTTGCCTTGTATCACTGTATCACAAGGCATTGTGAGTGATATAATAAAGAGAAGAGAGAGCATTTACAAGGCACTCAATACACCAGGATATGCTCCTGGGAGGCACTGCAAGATCCTTTGGATTCCACTAGAGAAAAGTTGGAGCTCTAAATACAGGTGATTTGACAAGAATCTCAGTGGAAATGCTATATTCTAACTGTATACTTTGCTACACAGAAGTTAGAGACAGCACAAGAGAATTTTCAGTTTATGCATCCCACTGCCACCACAAATAATGGAGCTGGCATTAAGAACAACCAATGGATAAGAAGAAATAAAGTTATTGACAAAGCAACCCAATATTAGGATGCTTTGAGGAGTTATTAAAAGAGCAGGGGATCTCAGCAATACATAGATGTGGCAATAGAGGATACATATTCAGTCCAATTGAATATTCATGCATATTCAGTCCGAACTGTATATTCAGATCCAAAGATTTCTGACTAAGTGGGGCTTTATTGAATAGAAAAACCCTTACAGAATTAGGGGCTGTTTTCTACAATCAACACACTACTTCTGATGTTACCGTTAAGTTTGTATTCTAGACCATTATAAACGATTGTTAGCAGTTAATTTTTTAGCCCAAGTTCCTTCAATGGGATGATTCACCTCCTTAAAATCAATACTGGTGGACACTTTCTCATGTGAGTTGTGATGAGGGCTGACAGCTGTTCAGACAACAGAGGAATGAGTTATGATATTTTTATTTGTTAAGCCAACATTTCCCAGCTAAGCTACTATCCATCAACACCTTCCTGAATAAACAACTTGCCTGCCAACAATAAGATTAATAAGAGGAAGGGAGAAAGAGGCTTAACAGTTAGGCGTTTGGTGCTTAATTCAAGAAAGAGGGGTCTGTTCCTATAGTTCTTGCATTGACTTCTCACAGGAATTGAAAACCTTGTAGTATTTATCAAAAGCAGAAGAGTTTATTTATACACTAGAGAGAAGTTAGCTTAGGGCACAGAAAAGGAGCAGGACATTGATAAAATAAAGCCAAATATAATATTAACCAATAAGGAAGCAAAATAAAGTGGAGGAAAAATTAAGTGAGGGTATTGAATCCCTTTATTTAATTGTGGTGCATCTACAAGCCATTTTAGTGAATCCCAAAGCCCTTACTCACACCCGCCCACCAAAGTTTTACCATATGTATTTTTGTGCTTACAATGGGTGGAATCCAATCAGGGCACTTACGATAACAGAAGACTTTTGATTCAGCAGGTGCCTCTGCTAATGGACAGGGAGGGCAAAAGATTTTCCCCAATTCACTCTTCGTCCTGCAATCCATCCCCACTATAGCTTATACTGTGTTTTGGAAGGTACCCCTAGTTTCTGGAGCTGTTTTTCAGGGGCACTGTGGAAGAGATCAGCAAATGTTTCCTCCTCTCAACCACTGGATCAAAAGCCCTTCCATAAGCTCAGGGAAGGGTAAGAACGAGGATTCCTTTCTGTATGTATGCATGCAAAGGGTTGCCCATTATTGACTATATTATTTTTTCTGATTTTAGAGTTTCCTCTGTTTAAACCTTGCATAAGAGAAAAATAGGACAAAGTGTCAGGCCAAGAAGCACTGCTCACAAAACTGTCCTCAAAAGATCACTAAGAGAACTGGATCTCATAAAGTCATTTGCCCATTTTTTTGTCTCTCGTTTCCCATTGCTAATTGGCCACAGTAAGCTGCTATTTTTTTATTCCTGTTTGCAACTTTGATTTGGTTTAAAGAGAAATGTCAAGCTGATGTGGTCAAGAATCCTTAAATAGGAGGAAGTAAATACAAGGCTTTGTGTGTTTTTTATAGGCTACAGAAAGATCAGTTATAATGACTGTTTTCTGGTCCATGGTAACGCCAGAACTGTCTAATAATGCTGGACTATGGTTTAGTGCTACATTCATGAGCAAGAAAGAGCTGCCATGAGACTTGCGTTTGTGCATTCCTTCTGCCCCTTTCTGATCACAGGGAGAATATTTGTCTTCATTTTCTGAGAAACCTGGCTTGCCATTATGTAGGAACCAGGGACAGTGGTTTAAGAGAAGCTGTGGTTATTTAAACAAGCCTGGTTCATAACTCAAGGTTTGAAGTTGGCTTGTTCGGACACTGATCAGAGTTTGGTTTACACCAATCTCTGGTTCATATGTTATCTGTTAAGATTCTTTGAAACTGGAACTAAATGCTCCAGAAGCCTTCTCCCTGCCACATGGAAGGAGAGTAGAAAACAAGCATGCCCAAGACTCACAGAAGCTTCCTTCACTTTCTGCATGGTTTGTGCGCCTAAACCATGGTTTATCATTATGTGCAAATGCAGTGGATGCGAAAATCATCTAGGTTATACCAGACTACAGTATAATACCAGGCTAAGGTATCACAGTGTAATAAAATTGTTAAGAGTAATGAAGAAAGCCAAAACAATGTCTTTCTGGATTCAGAATATGAATGGCAATTACAGCAGTGAATGTTTTGACAAGATAATGATTTCATGTCAACGGGCTTTTGTGACAGTTCTCAGAAAAATATAGCTATGAAGTTTTAATTGGTGCCTAAAAGAGGAGAAGTGGAAAGGAGAAAGCCATGACTAAATTATAATTATTGAAAATAATGACAAAGCAAATGGAAGAGAGTACAATGCAAGACTATGGAACTAGTTCCTCTTCTACAGCTACATGGGGAAGATACCTGATAAAGCTAGTTTACACAGCAAAGATTTTACCCTAATTCTTATTTTCACAACTAACTTTTATCCATTATTGTGTATATCTAAAACAATTTCAAAATGATCCATATTATTTAGAAATATTTGAATTGAGCACAGTGCTGCAGAAGGCTTCCCATATTGCACATTGCAAGGAAAGATGCATGTGTGTACTTAGTATGCTCGTACCTTTTTCACAGGCACATATGCGAAGCTGAGGAATTAATACCTTCTTAAAAGGTAAAGGGACCCCTGACCATTAGGTCCAGTCGTGACCGACTCTGGGGTTGCGGCGCTCATCTCGCTTTATTGGCCAAGGGAGCCGGCGTACAGCTTCCAGGTCATGTGGCCAGCATGACTAAGCCACTTCTGGAGAACCAGAGCAGCACACAGAAACGCCGTTTACCTTCCCGCCAGAGCGGTACCTATTTATCTACTTGCACTTTGACGTGCTTTCGAAATGCTAGGTTGGCAGGAGCAGGGACCGAACAACAGGAGCTCACCCCGTTGCGGGGATTCGAACCGCCAACCTTCTGATTGGCAACTGCTAGGCTCTGTGGTTTAACCCACAGCGCCACCCAATACCTTCTTGGCCAGAGGGAATTGCTGCATTGTGCTACAATCAGGTAACAACAATGAACCTGCTAGGTCAATCCACATGACCACTTCCAGCATAGTAAGTGCTCTGCACTTCCACTGGCAGTTCTCCCGTGGCTACATGCAGTACAGTATGCTGATTTGTGCTTCCGCACGATGGTACAAGTGGTTGGAGAAAAGAGGACCTGCGGTCAATTTGTGCAGTTCTACATACCACTGGCCGCCACATGACTGCATTCCGCTCATATTGCCAGTGCTCAAGCACAACAGTCACTGTGCTGGAGGCAGCTGCAATGCTGGTTTCAGTCACAGCAGGCAAAAGAAGACTAGCAGCAACTTCTCATTGAGAAGATGAGTTTCTTGCCCAAGCATTTTTAAGAGCGAGGGGTGGCAAACTGACTAGAACATTTGTAAGGCGTTACCCTTCCTGGAAGTTGCGTTGCGCACTTCTTTGTGTTCCTCCGACTGCCACCATGAAGGGAATTCTTCAGGAACCTGTCGAACTAGCGTAGAGTTTTCAGAGCGCTTCTCATTGTTTGACACTTCACCAGCTGTAATGATGGCAGAGTAACTAACAGGTTGGATATATGCTGTGGCAGATTAACTCCATTAATCTGTCTTCCATCACCATCACCAGGACTTCCTCTTAATGGAGAATGAAGGATCATGTCCTGTGTTCTTGAATGGCGTTAATGTTGAGTTTGTTTGTTTGTTTGTTTATACAACACAGGCAAATAGTCCTCAGCTTGGCCATAATCCAAAATAAGGAAAACGTATAAAGGGGCACCAACAGAGAGAAAAGAAGCCAGAATAACACACTAAATGGTATGAATAATGTGAGTGCAAATTAAAGATGTGAAGGCTGAGTGTATGTTGGGAGAATAAGCAAGTATGAGTAAGCTTCAGAAAATATCTACAAGGCCATTTTCCCAGTAAAAAGAATTGTGCTTACTGATACTAGGAGAAAGCTGAGTTTTTCTGCCATACTTATCCCCTTCGAGTCCAGGTGTTTTGTATTCTTCTGTTGGATCTTCTTGCTTCTCATGTGAGTCTAAATCTGTCATGATGAAGTTAAAGGGTTGTAAAGATTTTCATTTTTATCCACAACACATTTGAATATTTAGCCATAACTGGAAAAGCAAAACTGGAATTTAGTGCTCTTGTGCTAGAGCACAAATGGGCCCATCGTGGGATCTTCCCTCTTCTGCTATGAGGATGGTTTAAGGAGTTACTTGCTGAACATTTTCCATCATTATTTACTTCTGTTCCAGTGCTGAGTCTTGGTCTTTTCCTTGTGGCCGTGCAGAGAAAGAGAAGAGTGCTATCATTTCCTCATCCATTCATTTACATCACTCTGTGAGATGAGGAGATGTAAACCTGATGGAGAGCATTCTCAATGATAAGAGGGAAAGCAGCAGCAATCCAAAGGGGGAAAAGCCTTGGTGGAGAGGAAGAGATCAATGAGAAGAAAGAAAAATCTCACTGGTGAGAAGACAAACCAAGCGGTATCTTTCCATTTCAGCACAATGGAAAATGTGAGAGTGAATATAGCAAAGATGTTCATGCTGGAAATTATTTCATGTATTTTTTTTCCAAATGACAGCTTGTTGCTTTCATGTTTATTCTAAGAACAGCAATTCTTAGTTTTCAGCTTTGAGTTCCCAAAACATGTGCAAGGAATGGCATTTATTCTTCACTCAGAGTACAACATTGCCCATTTTCTTGGATGATTTCCAGTACAGCAACATCATCTGACAATCAGTAATTATCTATTAGGTTCACAGAATCAGACAAAATGGAAGGGGTATTGCAGGCAATATAGCCCAGCCCACTGCTCAATGCAGGCTGCAACCATGGCATCCCTGAGAGATGGCCATCCAACCTCTTCTTAAATGAAGCATGGAACTAGACTTCAGATGGGTTCGTTCCCCAAGAAGCAACACAAGCATAGCAGGATTAGCAGTCAACTGAAGCCTCTTCCCAAACTTAAGGTTTCATCTAACCAAAGTTTAGTGTACAGAAATGTATGGTATAAATACATACCAGGCATACAACAGAATGTATTCAGTGCTTGGCTGGAATGCAATTCGGTTGACAAAATAGAAATCTTAGGCAGGGGAATTTGTTTCGCAAACACAAAGACCCCCAGAAACAACAGGGGTGCATCAAGAGGATGAAGCAGCTAAGAGGAAGACCCCCAATCCCTGGTTGCACCAGTGCACAGATCAACAGGCTCAGGAGGACCTTTGATCTAGTTATAGAGCAGAACTGCAGAGAAAAGACCACTGTTTTATTCAGCCTCAAAATTCAGAACAACTTAAAACAATTATTTATTTTGCAGATGATGTCCTGGTGATAATGTGCAACATGGACAACTGTAACAAGAGACTAAATAAATAAATAAATAAATAACCAATTCTAGATCAAACAGCTGCAGCAATTTTAAAGTACCATTAATTATACATTTATAAAATCAAGAAGTTGGTTTGGTCCAGGCTAGTGGACTAATTAGATTAGTGCTAAGTGGTTTTATTGGCTGGCTCTTTAATACTCCTTATATCAGCTTGCCCTTTTCATGAACTTATATAGTTTGGGAGTATCTAGCTTATGAACTTGCCATCATTTCTCAAAAAGCTGGTTTGAATCTCCAATCGCTATAATTCCTTAGACCACCCTTGAAGCGAGAAAGCTGAGATCAAGATTAGAAACGCACACGTATTCACAAGTTTCTGCTCCGCTGCCAATTCCACAACTCTACTGTTGCAAGTTAGAATGACATGTAAGCAGCAGACCCACAACTATTATCTGTGAAAAGAAATAGCTGTGGTGTGAATTGCACAAGATTTTCCAGTGAAGGCAACTGTACAAGTGATGTGCAAAACTGGTTCAAATCTGTACTGCTGTCTACGTTTTGACGCAAACATTTAAATCGTGCAGTTATGAATGACAATACGCATGCAGTGTAAAGCCGGTGATTCAAACACACTGCTTTTGCAGGTATTGGCCTCAAATTCTTGCTGTCCCAGCATGCAGGACATATTTCACACATCCCTAATACCAATCTTCCTTCCAGCACCTTCACGCCCTGCCCTGGCTTCCGGAGCATCAGCTGTTAGTGAAGCCTTTCTCCATGTTATGCATTGCTACATGAAGGGAAGTCACCACCACCAGTGCAAATTGTACATTTTACTCAACATCAGGAGTTACCTTACACTGAGGGGGGGGGAAGAATTAACATTATTTTAAGAAGCAGGAAATAACTAGTGACACTACTGTGTGAGACCATTAAAATACATTTTTATTGCTAGCATGCAGCTAATTTCCTTCTTCCTCATTATTTCTTCAAGAAGTCCCAAAGTAAACCCAAACAGGTTTATCTAGAAAGTTGCAATGTCAACCACATCATTCAGCAGCTAAAAAGCACATTTCAGTGAATGATCAAAAGAAGCCCATTTAAATGGCAGTGCTGGCCAACTTGCATGTACTGAGATGACCATACAAATAAAGGATAAATGATGCCTTAATAATAGTTCGTGTGAAAAGTGGTGATCCAGAGAGATATCAAAATCATCTGGGCTCTGGTCAGAGAATTCATTCTCTCTCTCTCTCTCTCTCTCTCTCTCTCTCTCTCTCACACACACACACACACACACACACACACACACACATTTCATGAGACACAAAATTAAGTGCATACAAAGAACCCCAAGATGAAAGCAACATTTTTAACTCCTATCAGGAAAACCTGGATCACAGAATCTCAAACTCCCTGAGAGATGACCAGATGAATCTAGACTTCTAATTCAAACAAATAGCCATAGAACTACCCTTTAGATTTTCAATGAATATTTTTCAGTTTTTCTATATTGTCCAACTGAGAAAAAAGGGATCCTCAAGCACCATTCTGCCAGTATGGCCTCAATTAACTGAAAACCACAGACTCATGCAGTATGTATCAAAAGGAAAAATGCCTTTCACAAATGGAAGACAGCTTTCTGAAGAGCCTAGTTGCATATTTCCAGAAGACTCCTGGACATCTGACACAATAGCACACTGGAGATATTAATGCAATAGTTTAATTAATCACAACTTTAAATACAGACTTGTAGAGGCTAGATTTGGCAAACTTGTACATTCTACATAGCACTGCTTCATAGAGTGGGTATCAGGCCCATGCACAGTCCACCACTACAAGTATAATTTATTTGTGATCAGCATACATACACTAACCATGAGATCAGTCTTTCCCTTTTTTGAGGGAGACATATCATGCCTCTGGACCAATCAGACATGCCGCACTAGGGATGAAGAACAACACTGATCGTGAGCTCACCACTGCAAGGATGTACACAACTACACAACATAAGGATTGTGCAAACTAATCCTTATTCAATCTTACTTCTACCACACATCAGATTTCCCTTCTTGTCTCTTCCAGAAGCACAGGAAAATTTACAGAAAATGTACCTAATACAATTGTTACACTTACTAGGACTTTGGGGCTGCTGGTCTTTAGAATGTCCTCCTTCATGGTGGCCATCATGTGTATTTGGAACATCAGTTGCATCTTCATCCTTCTCCGCAAAAGGCTCTTTTGAGGTAAAAGTACCATCATCTGTGAAATAATAGATAAATAAGTTGCATAATGGATAAATGAGTGACCTACCACCCATACTGTTTTCATTATGAATTCTTCGAACAACTTTGTGCATTGTTTCATTATATTACTGGAGCAGTACTCTAGTTTCTGCTATAATAGACTAACAAGAGCACTACTCTAGAATTTATCGGCACTATGTTAGATGAATCATTTACAATATTCTTTTGTTTATGGCAGAAGGAAATTATCCTCATTGATAGTTGCTACTTTTTCACATCATGACTTAAATAGTAAATCCCAGTGATACCTGTATGATGAGGAAAACGTGACGAGATACCCGGACTGATAACATTGGGATCTGTCGTTGATCTGTCATTTGCAGAACCACTGCCGCCAGTATTTTCATCTTCATTAATGGGTGGCCGTTTTGTGAATCTCTCTCCATCAATATAGTGTGATCCATCAGGATTGTATATTTCTGTCGGAAAGAGGAAGTAAGGAATTAAACATAGCTGAACAGAGGAACATTTCCAGCAAGATAGCTGTCCTGTCGCAGTACTATCTCCCATGTGGTAACTTACCACAGAACCTGTGCCTTCAACTACTTAGAGCCAAGTTCAAACCTTGTTTTAAGCAGCAGTGAGTGTCACACTTACATATTCCCATCACTTCTATGAAGAGGCAACCAGTGTTTATTGTTACATCTGAATCGGGAACTCTGATTAGTTCAAACTAAACTATGGTTTTTGAAACAAGCCAGGATGATAAACTATGATTTGATTCTGGTTTGTTTTAAAAAAACAATTTTAAGTTTAGACTAACCACAGTTTATCCTTCTTAGGCTTAATGATAAACTGCAGTAAATTAAAAAGAAGCAATGGGTGTTTCCAATCTCCTCATGGACATAATACAGGAGGAGAGAGAAAGCTGGAGTGTACAAGCCTAAGGATTGTTTGCATAGTCCTAAACTGCGGTTAGCATTGTGACCAAATTGGGCTAATGTCAAGATCCTGCCAAATGATGAGGAAAACCTTTCCACATATGCATACGTATAAGAAAACAAGTGGTTATATTCTCCTGACCACTTTTAGAATGTTTTATGTACAAAGTAGCTAGATGCACATTGTACAAGTCATCTCTTCTCCGTAAAACGTAGCCATTTTGTGGTTATCGTGCACTTAAGGCACTCTGCCCTGTGGGAACCTTTTTGTACTCTGAATTGTGGCATGCACTGTCTATGCAATGGCATTTGCTGCTAGGACAGTAAAATGTTTTCCAACAAAGTACAATACAGAAGGCCATGCACCTCCAGACTTCCCTATGGTGCTTACTTTTTGCAGGAGACTCATAAAGCCAATCGGTTAGAAGGAGTATGTAGCAAAAATCCTTTGGAGAACAATTTGCTAGGCTTGAACTATCCATGACAGATTATCATTTAAAGGATCGCAGGGGAAGAGGTGTTACACGCTCCTTCATTTTCCAGTTGTTCTGTTCGTTGTACAATAGCCAATCTAAATGTGCTTTGCTACAACTTGAAACTATTTCTTTCTAATCTTCAGTGCTTTTGATAGACAGTTTTGATAGTTATTTAGATATATTAAAACAATTATTGTGTCTCGTGAATATTACATTCAAGAACTGTCTGCCGCCTGTAACAATCTACTTCATTGTACCGTTGACAGGATAATCAGTATGTTTGATAAACTATCCAATACAGTGACTTATTCAAGTCTGACAATGTGTTCTGGATTCAACCAAGGCAGGCAATGTGTGTTAAAATAAACATCCATCAAGGAAGAAGATGCACAAATGCTTCTTGTAATGTACCAAAAAGAACATGGAGATTAATGCATGTGCTTCAAAGGCTCTAAGCCAAGAAATAGTCAGTGGGAGACAGGTTAGAGGGCAGAAATACCTATACACACAAAATTTTGCTGCAGGGTCTCACTTTAATTTGATAATAATATGGCTGATTTTTTATCACCTCCGAATGATCTTATAAGGCCTAATTCTAGCAGATAAATGGAAAACAAATAGTTTAAAAATCAGGCAGATGATTATACCATGAAGTTGTACTAGATTATACTAAATACCTATAGGAGGTTATTCTATTCTAAAATGTATACAAAACTCTATACATTTTCTGAATATGCTTTCTTATGGCACATTAAAAGTTTGCAAAGGTTTGTTTCAGAGCCTGCAAAATATAGCTCAACACAAAAATGTATGAAATTCAGCTCTTACCTATTTTGCTATCTTCATCAGGCCAAATGGAGTATAACTTTATGACGGGGTCACAAACTATGTCCCTTGATTCTACAAAGGGGAGAGCAAAATATTATCTGGTTAATTTTTGTTAGAAGCAACAAAGGAAATGAGAACTGACACTAAAGCGGTGGCTATGCAACAGGTTTCAGCTGAGAACTCAACCATCCCATGGACAAAAGTAAGTCTTCCACACCTGTAGGTTTAGGGTCTTGAATTTGGAATTGGCATACATACTACATTCATTCATTCATTCATTCATTCACTTGCTAAATTTATATCCCACTTTTCCTACCATAGAAGCTGACAAACAAGTAATAAAACGTATTTAAAACAATGCCAATACAAATGCAAATTGTAATCATGCTAATTGTGAGTTTCTGTTAAAAAATAGAAGCTGAGATGCATAATTAGAACGTAAAGCAGATAAATCCTTAAAAACCTGACAGCAGTTCCAAATTTGCATGGCCTGTAACTGTTTGTGTTTATCAGAAGCATCATCTCCTTCCTAACTGCCCCATACACTCAAGAATGTTGTAGTTAGACCTTTCCTGCTTTTTAAGCCAGCATCATGTGAAAATTTAATATTGTGGGGAGGGACGGAGGGAGAGGACTCTCACCGTTCAGCCACATATCAGCTTCTTAGGACATATCAGCCCCATCTGGACCGCATTGCAAATGTTTATTTCTCAGGACACTGAGATCCTGCCTAAATCCACCAGACTTCATTAGCCAAATGGGATATGATGGCGACAGCTGTACACTGAAGCCTGAGCCATTTATTGAGGTTTGCCACAGTCATATATTAAGCAGTGGGTAGGGTCCAATTTTAAGAGCAATTTTTGTGGAGAAGTACACCAAATGCATGAGGAGGCCTCTACATTTCTGATTTGCATACTGGGTTTTTTGTTGCCTGCTGGAAATTGCAAAAAAGTGGGGAGGGGTTGGGCCGCAATATATGATGACTGGTTGAATATGTTCAACTTGGTGTGTCAGCAGTTATGCAGGCATGCCAAAAAAATCTGTTTTTAGCATATGTCTCCTGCATATTCTGCTTTGTAAGATATAACATTTATTTCAACAAACTGAGACATAGCATGTGCGGCGGCAAAATATCTCTGTTAGGAAGCATGTGAACAAACCCAAACATACCTGATGAATTGAAGCAATATGTATCATATTTGTCGGATATATTTGATGAAAGTACGTATATCCCAGTGTGGTTTGCTGCACAGAGTGCATAAGGGGTGTGTCGAGGAACTACAATTTTTTCTTCTATATAACCATATCTAGGAAAAAGAGGCATAAACATATTGATGCATCTAGATATATAACCAATGTACACAGAATTGTATACTACCACAAAGCATCTGTGAAGGAACCACATCAACCAAACTGAAGGAGCGTCTTTCCCCCCATCATTCAGCCCAGACACTGAGATCTAGCTCTGAGGATATTTTGACAGTTCCCTCACTTTGAGAAGTGAAACTACACGGAACCAGGCAGAGGGCCTTCTCCGCTAGTGGGGCCCACCCTGTGGAACGACCTCCCATCAGATGTCAAGGAAATAAACAACTATCTGATGTTTAGAAGACATCTGAAGGCAGCCCTGTATGGGGAAGTTTTTAAAGCTTGAAGCTTTACTGTGGTTTTATAATTTGTTGGAAGGCGCTCAGAGTAGCGGGGGCAACTCAGTCAGATGGGTAGCATATAAATACTACTACAACTACTGGAGACTGACTCTGATTCTGTCCACATAATTGATGTGTGTGTGTGTGTGTGTGTGTGTGTGTGTGTGTGTATCTTTCAAGCCATGATCCATCCTGCACTCTACTAGATATTTTAAATGAATTACAGTGGTGCCCCGCAAGACGAATGCCTCGCAAGACGAAAAACCCGCTAGACGAAAGGGTTTTCCGTTTTTGAGTTGCTTCGCAAGACGAAAACGTCTTGTGAGTCTTGCGATTTTTTTCACTCCCCCCCTTTTTCTAAGCCGCTAAGCCGCTAATAGCCTTTTAGCCGCTAAGCCGCTAAGCCTTTAATAGCCGCTAAACCGCTAATAGCGCTAATCCGCTAAGCCGCTAATAGGGTTGCTTCGCAAGACGAAAAAACCGCTAGACGAAGAGACTCGTGGAACGGATTGTTTTCGTCTTGCGAGGCACCACTGTATAGAACAATTATGGCACTTTAGTACTGCAGCGGATTCAACCATTTGGGAAAATGCTTTGGAAGGTCCAAGTTAGAGTCCCAGAAACTCTGCTCTTCTAGAGACAGCAGGTGTAGCAGCAGATGGGACATATTATTGTTATTCTTAATATTGCTGTATTGAATATGTGTACACTACAATGGGTTCCAGATGTTTTGCTTTTGTTTTATTTTTTAAATAGAAATGCTCATTGTAGGAAATGGAAGGGACAATATTTGAGTAAGAGAGAACATGCAGGCATCTGACTCCGTGTACTTCTGATATCTCTTGTTTAAAATAAAAATCCCAGGTAACAGGGTTGAGAAACAGTGCTATCTGAAATTCTAGAAAGCAACTGCACACAGCTTAGACAGTACTGAGCTAGTCATAGGTAGGTAGCCATGTTGGTCTGCTGTAGTCAAAACAAAACAAAAAAATTCCTTCCAGTAGCACCTCAGGGACTAAGTAAGTTTGTTATGGGTATGAGCTTTCGTGTGCATGCACACTGTATCTGAAGAAGTGTGCATGCACACGAAAGCTCCATACCCATAACAAATTTAGTTGGTCTCTAAGGTGCTACTGAAAGTACTGAGCTAGATAGACTAAAGGCTTGAGTCATTATTAGGTGGCGTCATTGATTAATTGGATGTAACAATAATATAAATTATTTGTCAGGTGTGTACTGGTCATTAGGAATGACATTAGGACATTGGATTTGGAAAGGGAAGGAATTTTCCTGCAGCACAATTGGCAGGCCCACTGTCTTGGGGCATCTGAAGCTATTTGCTGTGTAAGCTGCTGTGTTCTGAATTCCAGATGTCACTGTGGTGGGTGGGGATAAAATATTAAAGGGTGAATGGCCCCTTATTTACACAAAGGGTTATACTAGGGAGCTACATGTGATCTCTTTCCAGTCTGTGTTCCATTAACCCTGTCTCTAGATTTTCCTAACTTACCAGCAGAAGAAACTGACGGGGTTATTGCAAGAAAGGGCAGAGCACAACAATGAAGGAGAAGCAAGGATGATGAAAAACATACCACGCTCTAAACTTTGCAAAGCTTCAATAAAATGTTGAAATGTAGCAATAATCTACACATGGAATGCTGGCTAAAATAAGTAACGTCCCCCTTGCTGTTCTGTACTGAGCATAGGGCTTTCCAGCATATATGGAACTCCATAAACTGATTCAATGAACATTTCAGTGAAACATGTGGTTAATAAAATTATGTAACAAATGAAGGTTATTTTGCAGTACTATCCTGAGTTTCTAGTACATTTAGTACCAATTTCCTTTAAATCTTCTTTGCCAAAAAGGTTTATTAAAAGTTTTGATTGGGGAGAGACAGTTAAGGACTCATCTACACTTCCGCTTACTCTCTGTATAGAAAGCACGGGTCTTAAAGGTTTTCCATTTGAAACCTGCTGAATTGTAGGCAAGCATCAATCTGCGTAAAACCCAATCAGTGTTTGATCCAGTTCAGTGGTAAAGAGTGGGTTTTCCTTGGGGGAAAGCAGAGGCACAAGCAGACAGGCTCTAAGGTAGCCACTGCTGAAACTCTGGCTTGTATAGAATGCTGCTGTTCCATTTGTGCAACTATCACCCACTAGTGCAACAGATTTTCCCACCCTCCTCTGCAGTCCACTGCACAACCTCAGAGAGAGGTTGTGTAGCAGCTAGCACTGATTTTGAGGGGTGAGCAGAGACAGGAGAAGAATAAAATGTCTTATTTCATGAGTGGAATGCTGTTCATGCAGTGCTGGATACAACCCTCTGGTTCAGGATTGAGGTGCAGAAAATTATACCCCATTAATGTGATCCCTGTCAACCTGGGACTGATTTCCAAGTACATGTGTGTAGAATCAGGCTGTTAAAGTGTTACTTCTTTTGTTCTGAGGTGTACAGTAAAGCCACTGTACTATAGCAATGGCTTTTTAATAACAGACCAACTCAAGCAGAAAGTGAAGCCCTTTTCAGATGAATGCACAGGGACACTGGCATTGTGGCACTTGTTTCCTGCAAAATATGACAGGGCTCCGCTCCTCTAATGGTTTGCCTTAAAACCTGTGGAAATTCCCTGCTCCACAAAAGGTGCAGAAGCTCTGATTCCCCGCCCCCTTGACCAGTCTCTTCTTGTTTCACCCTACACCCTTTCATTATGACCTGAATTAGGATCTTCCTTAGGCACTCATTGCATTAAATATTCAGAAATCATCTCCCATAAACTAGCAAGGCTTAAGGTAATATCATGCAACACACAGTTTCGGGAGCCTTTTCCCTTCCAGTTGTGGAACTTGAACGCAACAGTTAGGTCCCAGTTTCCTCACTGAGCCACGGTCCGGGCCTTAGAAACATGAGTAATTCTTGTCCACCACTATTTCCACTGTACTATTAAGGTCACTACATTGCAAAACATTGGCAAAACATGCTGTTGCCAATCTGGGTCCAACAACACTATCTACCAAACCAGAACCTGTTTCTTCAGAGCCAATGCATGTCTGATGTGACAGAGTTGCCAGGGTTGTTTAGCATGGTATGTACAAAGCAACCCTGAACCATCTCATCCTCTGTAACAAGCCTAGGCACCCTACTAATCTTTTAAACCTCTTGCATAAGAAAATAAATCATAATATGGGATGTTCAGCTGTCCATTATGGAAAGAATCTCTCCAATGAAATTTAGAAGGATCTTTAAGGTTCCGTCTCATCCTTACTACATGTGGCTGTGATCTAAGAGAACATGCATTCTGTTTGAATACTTTAAAGATAGGAAAAAATATCTACTGGGTAGATAGTCTCACCACTGCCATTACTGCAAGAAGGCACACAATCCTGGCCCTATCTAGAATTGCAATAACCTTTCCAGAGCCCCTTGGGAAGGATGGGCTATAAATAAAAAGGAATTAGTTAAATCATTTTTGCTCCTTGGGCAGGATTCAACTAATGAGTCCTGCTAGCAGAAGTCTGCACAAGGACTTACACAACAGGGCTTTCCCCCACACCTCCCAGCTTGGGGTGGTGGGTGGGAGAAAGCCAGAACGCTGCATTAAAAAAGAAGAAGAATTTTGCCATTTGCGCCTGAAGAGACTTTTCTATACCTTCATTGACCAGTATTTTGGATAAGATGGTTCCTTCATATTTTTCTACTATAATTCTGTTTATCCCATTAATTTATATCCCATACCCTGCAAAAAGGAATAATAATGCAACTCAGGCCCTTAGGGAAAACAAGACTGTGAAGACCTTTTGCTAATGCTTCCTGGAGACTATGCAACTATTAATAACTCTGCTTGACATTTATTCCATACACAGTTAAATATTTTTGAACAATTGCACCATCAGAAACTAACTAATCTAATTACTTACCATGCTAATTAGGCTGATTACTTTCCATACCAATGAATTTGCCTTTACTCCGCGTATTTTGAAAGTACTCTTACACAAGTCCAAGCACTGTGTAGCTCACAAACCAGCAATAAAATTCACATCATAAAGATGCAAAAGCAATGCAGTTAAACCTTTTGACAGAATGGACTTAGGAGTACTTAGGTGGTTGTGTTATAGACAAGAAGGTGGTGCTTTATCAGTTTGCTTTCCCTCAGTTGCATGTTCATAAAATTTAATTATTAGTAATGGTGCCACACACACGGCCTAAGCTAATTTAATATGTTAAGTTAATGAGGCATATGTTGCCCTTAGGCTGCGGTTCTGCTTCCATGTAGTTGCCCAAGGTAAGTAACAATCCCTTCCAGACAACCCAACTGCCAGATCAATGTGGAAGCTGCCCTGTGGCACGTACATCTCTGCAGGTGGGCAGGAATGTTGGTAAATATTTATTGTACTTATACGCAATGCTGATGATGATGTTTGGCACAGCAAAGTGACTAACAGGGTAATTAGCAGCAGGAGATGGGAAGTCTCGCTCAAATCTTGCCTTGGCTGGGTACTGCCTAGGTGGCCTTAAGGCAAACAAAACATTATTCTCTCAGTCTCTCCATCTGACATGGGGTAATGCTACATTAATCCCGCATCTTACGTGCATCTGACCTGTGCAATTTCAGCCATATGCAGTTGAAGGCAGGCTGATTGAAATTGCACAAGTCCCC